CAGTAAAAGTTGAACGACATGGTGACGTTTAACTAGGCACTAAAGTCGTGTGAACCTAGATAAAAAATAATACAATTTATAGAAGGTTTTATGGTAGGGGAATTCTCTAGTTGCCTGGTTGTTAAGCGGAATCGATATAAATAGACGCCGCAGGTGTCTTCGCATTTATTGGCCATTTAAGTCACTTATTGCTTAATGTATATCTTCTATTACGGTCTTGGTCCATTGAAATTTAACCAAACAAAATCGAGAAGGGGATCCAGTAGGGGTCTAGGGAATCGAATGGAGTTTCGTCTTTTTCAATTAAATTTTACGAGCTCGCGATCATGTTTAATGTATGTTTTATACCTTCAAAATTTTTTTTCTTTGAAAAATGTTCATCAATGCTGCCTTCAACTCTTCATCGTCGGAAAAATGCTTATCTCTAAGATCTTTCCTGAGGTAGGGGAACAGAAAGTAATCACTAGGGCTAGGTCCCAGTTGTAGGGCGGAGGATCGATTTCTTCAAATCCCGCATAGTAGCCTTGGTAACGCGCCCTATGTAATCCAACGTGTTGTCGTGAAGAAGCAAAACACCCGAGATAAAATTTCTATGGCGGTTTTCATTGCCTCCGTAGGGTGTTCGCGCAATATGCGGCAGTAAAACTTTGTCCTTTTTTGTGCATTCAATCAGTATTTCCTTAGAATCCCAGAACACTTTTGCAATGAGTTTTCCAGTGGATTTGACTTTAAACTTTTTTGGTGGGTCTGTTTCTTTTTCATGCCACTGCATGGATCACCGGCAACGATTCGGTTGCAAATACTATGCGTATTTTCACCATGGAGCTCCAAAAACTTCTCGACGTTTTCTTCAGTAATGGTATTAACCGGTCCATTGGCACGGGGATCGTCTTCAATACACTCTCTCTCTACCCCATTTGAATTCACTACTCCACATCTGAATAATAGACAGTGAAGGATCAGAATCTGGTCAACAGCCACCATTTCTTCGTGAATAACTTTTTGACTTCGTGGAGTCCTTTCTTGTTTTGTAAGGAATTTTTATCACAGTCCGATGCTCGATTTTTTACATTGTTGTATCGGTTATCGCAGCTGCTTTTATACCCTCAAAGAATGCCTTGAACTAATGAGATAATTTAATTACCCTCCTCATTAGTAAATCACCCCGATACCGAGAATACATTGAACGCCCCTCGTTCGTGGTAAGCGTTTTGTTTACACAAGTTACTGCTGCGTCGTAAATATTATTCGATCCCGTAATATGTTCAGCGATTGGATGGAACGCTCTAGACCTTGTTTTACCTTATAGACAACCCTTCCAGTTCTAGGTGTTCTTGTTTTGAAATTTAAGTTTATTAAGATGGCACTTTTTTATTTTTATAATTTTCAGACATTGTTTCCCACCATTTCGCAAAATTATTACAAATGAACTGTCGTAGCAATAGTAGTTAATTGTATTCCTCCGTTTCAGGTGGTGATAACTAAAAGCGCAGAGTCATGAACGCATCTACAACTAGTCACTCGCATCAAGCAGGATAGCTGCAGATAAAAGGTGAGTATTTGTCGCTTGTTTAATCATTACATTAAGCCGCGTATTTGTATCGCCCGTTGATGATAACCGTATGAAAATCCGTTCAGTAGGCACTACTTATTTGAGTTTATCGCGTACAAAAAGACGAATAGACGCAAAATGACAGTGGTCTTTTAATGTGTATGGATTACTATGTTTATTTAGAGTTATGAAAAAAAGTATATATTACACGTACGTAAGTAAAAAAAGAGTAATAAACGCTTTAAGAGAATTTAGGAAGGGGATGTTTTTAATACCATCTCGTATCGTCCCCCTGTTTATCCCAACGTCACCTCCCACGACACCCACGGGACTTGCGCAAAAACGATGTTTGTCTTTTATAAACAGTTTCGAAGCCGAAGTTTCATAATAGGATACGCACTCTTTCAAACATGAATGTACCACGCTATGATTGTCTGGCCGTGAACTATTCGACATTAAATCCACCTGAAAGTAATTCCAAAGTTCTCTCCTTAACGGAGTTAAGTCTGAGAAGAAAGCAATCTAATATTCACCATAAAAGCGGAAGAAATGAGCTTAATGTTTGTAAGAGCGCAATACGCGGCCAGCTTTTGTTGTGCCAAGCCGTACAAATGTATTTAATTAGTATAATTCAATGGATATAAGTTTCTCCTTTGTTCATTGACATGTTTACTTACCGAAACCCTGTATAACCTTTAATTTGTGGAAGTATTATTATTAGTAGTATTATATATTTTATAAAAGCAAATTGTTTTTAATTATAAACTAGTAAATTTAGAATAGAATACAAACATTTGAACTTACGAGAAATGGCAAACTTTTCTGCAAAGTTTAGCTATAAAGCTATTGGAAAATAATAATAATAATGTCTAAATCTCACTAAATCGTCATGGTAATCATAATATAATAATAGAAGGTACTTTTATTTACTTATTACTCAAATCTTAATCGTATACAAGAAGATTATCGCCGATAAAGAATAAAGGAGCACTGAAGGCTAAGGCACGCAGAGGTGGCTTTTTATTTAACATTTGAATTCCTTAATCTAATAGATGTCGGTAATTGATCGGTATTCTTGTACTCAAAACCGATATCATAGTAGATTATTGCACGTATCGTAATTTATCCTACGCGTGGGTTTACTGGGATACAATGCCTAAAGGCATAAATTTCGCAATTTGTTATCGTTAAGAATCTAACTACAATAAAAATGGTTTTAATCGTCTCATTAATCGAGGCAACTTGAGATGTTCCGTATTCGCTCTTATTTCACGTGATCTTTATTTCCTTTTTCATAAAATTCAAATTCAAGAGTTACGCTTGAACTTTGTCTGACGCATTTCGATTTGTTTATCAGCACAGGTTTCAATACGTTCGATACTGAAAGATATCTAGATTTTAAAAATTAACAATGTTAAATATTCGCATATTGGTACACGTACAGTACGCAAATATGAACACGCAAATATAGTTCGTGACCCTGTGAGCGAATGAGTCAGGCTATCGAAATAATTCTCACCCATTGAAGGTCATTTGTCTTTGCATCAAGTTTCCTGTGGGCGGCTCGGCATATTCACGCCGTTTATGCTACGATTCAGAACTAATATAATATGTATGAATATAATAATCGTATAAATTATTAAGATTGTTATGTAGATTTGTAATAATAATAATAATATTCTTTATTGCACACCAAAATAAAACATACAAGAACCATACCTTAATTTTTAAGTTATAGGTACAATGGGCGGCCTTATTACTAAAAGTAATTTCTTCCAGACAACCTTTGGATGGTTTGGATTAAATTCGTATTTACTTTAAAATATACGCTTTGGAGCAAAGTAAATAAATTCTAAATATACATAATAATACGCTGTGTAGGAGTGACTTCACTGGAACAATTTAATTAATTATGTAATTAATTTTTGCGGACAATGTAATTAACTTTCGCATTACGTCTTACAATAGAACTTCTGCACGACAAATTAAACATTATAATTATAATTATTTTACGTTCAGTCGCAAATTAGACGGATTCAAATGCTGAATAAGCAGCAGACACTCAATATTTAATGATTTAACTACAAAGTTTTATATGTATCGGAACATAATAAATATCCTGTTAAGTTTAGATTATTAAAGATCCACAGTATTGAATTGTTTTCGGTCATGATACATAATATGTTCATTAAACCACCGCCAGATCCGAGTAAAAATACAAAGGTGGATTGTACGCTATTTATAATCCAAAACATATTTTATTTTACTCGTGTAGCGGGGAACATTATTATATTAACTTATCGAGCCCTTCCACGAACCGACAAGAACATGGGCGGTTAACTGTACAAACGTCGATCGTTACAACTGCAGCGTGGTTTTCGAATAGAAATAAAAGGACCGTGTCACTTGTTGAAGAAGCCTGGCAACGTATCGACTTTTGTTTGGTATTTGTTTACGCCACCGCCGCGCTCTAATATGTACGTACGCACAGTTTTCTTGGCAGGTTTCCCGCGAACGAGCTTCGCCGGTATATTTATGTAATGAAACGGAAATTATTCACTGTACACACACGTTATGTTTTTAAATCGCCGCATCCCCGAATTTCCTGGATAAAATCTCCACATTGAGAACGTCTTCTTCACAGTTTAATTCTTGACGATCTTTGTTCTTTATAACTTTTCTTTTTTATGCTACAGGAGCGATTGAATTGTCTTTTATTACGGAGCATGGAGATGGACCGCGCTGTAGTTGTATATTGAGACAGATATATGTAAGCTTATCTTTTAAGAATGAACACAGGATATGAATCTTAAAATTTAGGCTAATTGATGTTGACGCGGTTGCACTCTTGTGAGCTTGATATCGAAAGGTTCATTGAAATCAACGTGATGGCTGTGTAATCGCCTGGGTTGCAATCGATTGGGGCGGTAGCCATGATAGCTTCCGCTCTTCACTGACCAGGGCTCGCTACATCCGAATAGGACGTTTACATTTAACTGGATCTTTTATTTAATCGATGACACAACCAAACAACGTAAGAGCTCGAACTGAGATCGTGTCAAATAGGTACTGTCGGTTGGAAAGATAAAATTATATCGCTAATTGACTTACGTTTCTAGACGAGGTCGGTAAACTTTGGTGGGCAACGAATGAGTCGCGGAAACGTTTCTTATTGTGTGCGTGTTTACGTATCGTAGATAGGCGGGTGCGCGAGGGCGAAGTACGCTCAAGGGCAGCCGGCGTGTAACGACCCCAGCGTCGAAAAGTTTACGCTCCATATGTATCGTTTCACGCCGCACTTTATCACGCCAGCATTTGCGATCTCCCAACAAATGCTTTCCCGTGAAGCTTGTGAACGGAATGTGTTTTTTCCAGACGGTGCGCCCTCGAATAGCAGATTATGGACTACGGCTTCAATAATGTGGTGGAAGGGACGCGCCAGTTCTTCATGGGGCTGCCTAAGCAGGTGCAAGCCGAGGGCAGCGGGCAGCCCGTGTGGCCCGCGGGTGCGCCGCCGGAGGAGGGAGCGCCGGCCCTGTCCGGGGCACCAGCGCCGTCCTCGCGGCCGCCGTCCGCCGCCGCCGCGCCCCCCTCCACCCCCGGGCCGACGCCAGTCGCGCAGCCGCCCCGGCCGCCCTCGGAGCCCCTGGAGCCTGAGCCGCATATAATCCACAAGGCGACGGTGATGCGCGAGGCGGCGGAGAAGCGACGCGAGATGCCCGACCCGGACGACGACGAGGAGCACCTGGGCGCGCTCTCGCCGCCGTCGCACATCATCCGCAAGCCGACGCCGCGCACCCTGCCCTCCCCCGCGCCCGCCCCGGCCGCGCCCAGCCCCTCGCCCGCGCGCCCGCCCTCCGCCGCGCCGCTCGCACCTCCCGCCGCCGAGCAGCATATCGAGCAGCACGCGCAGTACCGCGCGTCGGTGCAGTGCGTCCAAACTCCGACCGCGCGGCCGCCTGAACAGTACGCGCCCAGCAGGCCGCCGGACCCGTACTCCTCCTCGCGACCGCCGGAGCCGTACGTCCGCTACCAGTACGAGTCGGCCGTACACGACGGCGGCCGCAATTCACACGGGCCGGCGATCGCGTCGCCCCAGCCTGCCTCTGCTCGCCACAGTCCGCAGACCTATTCGAGATTGACAAGTGTAATTCCGCAGCACACCGCTACGCGACTACGCGAATCTGCAGCGCACAGCCCACCGTCCTCGCGCTACCCGCACCCTCCGCCGCCGCACAATGATCGCGTTCCACCAATACATCACCCGCAGCCCACACCCCCGACTCAGAGGGTGGGTGTTTTGGACGGGCGACCGACCCAAGCTTACCTGCCTTTGGTGCATCGACGTGAACCATCTTTACCAAGGACGTCCCACTATGAGAGGCACCCAACGATTCCACCGCGGAAGTATGATCCACAGCAGGCGTACTCCGGTTATAGACCTACACTCCCAACGCCACAGGCTATGCAAAACCATCGTGTCGAAATGCTGCCGCAATACAAACATGGTGGAATTGAAGTTTTAAATACACATTATCCGGCGAGACAGCCGGATCGTACGCCAATACAACCTCAGTCGGTAAATAACGAGGCCGCTCGAATATCCTCGAGAGTAGATTTCCACAGCAAAAGTAAGTCTGTTGAGCCTAGACCAGGTTACCGTTATTCATCACCATCAACATCAAATGTTAGATATGCACCTAGTGCTCAAATGCCGGTCGTTCATAATAATACTGCACTGCAACCGAGGGCGTCCTATCGATCGGTGGCTGCTCCAAAGACAAACTATGATTATTCAGCTACTAATCAAGTTCACACGTCACCCTCACGTTCTTCAGCAAAGGCTGGGTATGCTAATCAGCAAACACGAATGACTGTGTCCGTAACATCCATCGTAAATGAGATCAATCAATCTAAACAAAAGAGAGAGTCACCTCTCGATTTGTCTGTAAAAACTGTTAAGAATTCAGCTGATTCTTCAACCACTCAAGATGATGTTGTTGATTCCGCATCTATGGAAAGTAAAACAATTCATTTTCAACCACGTCCAAGTTCAAGTAGTCGGCATGTACCTCCTTTACCTGGCTACGTTGTATCTCATAAAGTTGATTTTGCACCAGATTTTACTCAGTACAGGGAAAGAAACCCAAATCATAATTATAGTGCACCACCACAGCAAGTGCGATATAATGGAGCATACGAAACTCCAAGACCTGTTTCTGAGCCTTACACTATAGAATCTCGACATCCAGTATACAATTCGGAACGGAGTAAATACAATGGTCCTATACAACCAAGAACTGATTTTGTTCCTAGAATAGATCTCACTAGACCAGTTATTGATGAAAGACATGTAGAAAGACCACTTCGAGAAGAGCCTCAAATCACAATGGAGGAACGTAAGCGTCCATCTGGCCCGATTTTAAACAACATTCCTGAAAAATTAGTGAGGTATGAAACCTGGTCTTCTGACAGTCGGATAGAGCGTATGAACCAGTCAGCCCGCGAGCAACATGAGCTGATGAGCCGCCCCGTGTATAGTTATAGCAGTCATAAAAGATTTGAAGCGTATCAAAACGACCAAAAACGAGTTGTTACATCAAATATGTATCGCGAACATCATCCTCATACAACACAAAAACTCTCCAATCCTCGTGTGTATCCAGAAAAGACTAATCGTGAAATTAGTGATTATCATGCGCAATATCACGATCGGATTCCGTCTAGTAGCCGTCATGTAATACAGAAAATTCCGAGCCATAGAGATTTACATCTTCATCATTTAGATTCACAAAATGGTCCTGCGAACAAGAGCGTTTTAAGTATATTACGTAATAGTTTAGAGACTAAGCAAACCGGATACGTTGAACCAGCTAGGCCTGCGCGCCAAATACCGGATCTCATTGTTATAGACGATGTGGATGATTCAGTTATAGAAATTACTGATTTAACGAAAGAAGGTGAAACCGAATCTATTAGTAAAATAAATCTGAAAACCCCACAGAATCAAAATCCATCTACACTTGGTCACAACATTCAAATGCCTAAAGCTGTAGATTCTATTGCTCGCGACTCTGATTATCAAAAAAGCGATAATACAGAATCAAAAAGCAAATCTCCTGAAAGTGATGTTGCGTCTAGAATAAGGACTAAAGCAGAATTAAAAGTGATGCCACCATCTCAAGATAATACAAAACCAGATAAATGTTCAGAAAGTACGTCTTCTGATACGGAGAAAGTAAAGTTACTCCCAAAATCTCAGAAACAACATCTTTTTAATCAAATTAGAGAAGACAATTTACGGTTAGAATCAGTAATAAAAAATGATAGGCCTATCAATAATTTTATAGCTGAAGTTAAATCGGAGCCAATGAATATTGATGAAATAGAAAAAGATGCTATTGCACCGATTAAAACCGAAACTGTTATAAGAAGTTTGGAACCAGAAAATTTTATACCTTCGGAAGTGCCACCATCCGAAGATTTAGACTGGGCAAGTGCTTGTGACAATTTTATGGAACAACTCAAGATGTCAACTCAAGGCTGTCTGCGAAAAAAATCAAATAGAAAACGAAATGACACATTAGAGCCCGAAAGTGAAATAAATCTTAAATGCACAAATATTGAATCTGAAGAAAGTAATAATGATAAAACCGAAATTAACTTAACGTCCGCTGTAGAAATAAAACAAGAGCCTGTTGATGACACTGAACAAATAGAGTCTGAAGTAACTATCTCAAATATTGTAGAATCTGAAAGCACCAAACTTCCAACTAAAGAAGAAAATAAAAGTTGCGGAATAATGAAAAAAAATAATGAAAAAGTAAACGGAAAACCGACCAAATCTAATAAAATACAAGGAAAAGGTAAAACAAAATCCGAAAAGAAAGAGTCTCTGGTTACTACTTCTGCAGGTCCTTCTGTGACAACTAATAAAAATGACAATGACACAATTAAAACGGTTATAAAAGAAGAAGAAGAATCGACAGATGACGACGAGCCATTGATTAAAAGCAAAATTATGAAAGAGAAAGTGCAGAGAGAGCTTAAATATCAGATGCTTAAAGATTTGTCCGAAAAATCTGCATATGTTAAGTTGGAGTGCTGTGATGAACGTTTGAGTGTGAGTAGTAGAAGGTCTACAGAGACGTTATCTAAAGAAAAATTAGAAAGACAAAGTAAAGGAAAATCTAACAGAATTATGACAAAATCAAAAGCTAAGCCTTCATCAATTGAAAATAAAATTGAAAAACGAATTGATAATTCAAGTTCGGACAGTGAAAATGACGATATGACAGTTGCAAGTAGACTTCGTGTGCGTAAAAGCATTAAAACAGAAGACAACAAAAGTACTACAGTAAATAAGAGTCCTATAAAATCATCTCCGTCTAAGAAACAAGATACGAGTAGTGCAAGCAATAGTTCAACCCCGATTCGCAAACCTGGGTTTGGTGACGGTTCAGACTTTCATCCAGGATGGGAAGAAGAATTGTATAGATATAAGAGATCACTACGAATGCCTACAAGACTAATAGCCATACCACGCGGTCGATCAGGTGGGCCATTTACTAAAGCTTCGGGTAATCTATTTACACGGGGTTCGACTTCACTCCCTGATTTAGATCCAATGCCTCTTTCGCCTGCCCCATCATCAGCTCAATCAGCAGCTACTGATGACTTATATGCTAGGCGACCTGATAAAATGACTTTAGACAGTGATTTAGAATCTAATTCGAGTTGTTCAGCACCTAATCGTCTACATTATGATTCGGAAGCGTCAACGTCTACTGTGTTTTCTGTTAGTAAAGTTAAAAAGAAATCTAGCTCAATTGTGGACGTTCTCATACAAAAATGTGGGAAAAAGGAAGAATCAAAAAAGAAGTGTAAGGATAAAGATGAAAAAAGTCTCAAAATTATTCCAAAAAATTCGAATGTATGTGAATTATTACCAACTCCAAGTTTAGGCCTTGTAAAAAATGGAAATAAAGGTAACTTAAGTGCTAAAAAAGAAAAACTAATGGAAGATATATTTTATTTGGGAGCATTTAGAAAAGAAACTGTAACCGCTTTCCGTCACGCTTTTATTGAGAACACTGAAGGCTTAATAGGTGCCACCGAAGAATTTGCACCAGTTATATTAAAATCTAGGACACGAACAGAGAGTCGAGTATTAAAGCAGCGAGCAACAATAAAAGAAGTGTTCGGGGACGAAAGGCCAGCTTCAGCTCCACCATCGACAGGTAGAAACAACGAGGAGCAAGAACATGAAGAAGTTAAAGAAGAAAGAGTAGTCGAAGTAATGAAAGAACCAGAGTCCAAACCAAAATTTAAACCTCGAAAAATCGTCAAGGAAAAGCTCAAGCGAAGATCGAGCTCGATACGAGACGGCTTAAGAAGTACTAAATCGTTAAAACGCAATGACGCAAAGGGCAGATTACTGCGACTGAAAAAGAGAAACAATTTAATGAAAAATTTTAATGCGAAACGTAAAGAATCTACTAATAAAGTAAAGAAAGATAAGACTCCCGCGGATGACAAAGACAATACGAAGGAAGAAGGCAGTTCACCCGGGACAGCCGAGGTGAACAATAAAAGAAGGTTTAAACGTTTATTCGGACGTAGAAAATTCAGTTCAGGATTTGATTACATCCGGAAGAAGAAGAAGATGATAAGGAAAGAAGACAATAATTGTAACAAAATTCGCCGGCCGGCTCCGAAGCCAAGTCCAGAGTCCGTCCATGATATACAGAAGGAGATTAAAAGTTGGTTCATAAATAAAAGTATTGGGGAAACGCATTTACATAGAGCTGCAAGACTTGGGTTCACTGTGAGTGTTGCTTCTTTTTAACTTTATGTTACAAGTGGAAATTGTAAATGCTAAAGATTTCTCCCGTTTCAGGACTGTGTGGCATATTGCCTAGAGAAAATGGAATCCGATCCCTCGGCGAAGGACAACGCTGGTTTTACGCCGTTACATGTGGCAGCTGCGAAGGGTCACGTCCGAATCGCCCGTTTGCTTCTTCAGTACGGTGCTAACGTATCTGCTGCCGCGCAAGGAGGAATCAGGTAGTCTATCTAAAGGTCTCTCATGTTCATATCACATTTATTTCGTTATAATTAAAATACTACCACAAACAAATTGTTTTTGCAGTTATAATTCTTTTAGCGCGTTTGGAAAAATTTATGAGAGTGTAATTTTTAATACGCCGATACACATAAAGCGTCATGATTAACTTCACATAGATACTTGGTCGTTTCGCAACCAACTTAACGTTATCATGGCAACCAATACAATTTCCTGACAAAAGTCAGATCCAACCCACGGTTCCAAGTTACCAACCAACCGTTATCAATTGTCTTTTTCACATAGAGAACTGACACAGGGGATATAATTTTTAATTATTTTTCTTTCGTTACGCTAAACAAGCATATCTTTTTTCGACACACACACACGCACACGCACACGCACACGCACACGCACACGCATACGCGCACGCGCACGCGCACGCGCACACGCACACGCACACGCGCACGCGCACACGCACACGCACACGCACACGCACACGCACACGCACACACACACACACACACACACACACACACACACACACACACACACACACACACACACACACACACACACACACGCGCATTTTTTTCTCTTTACTAAAACAAAACAAAATATAGTATACGTATGTTCTCAAAGAAAAAATGGGGCCATCTTATATGTACATTGTGAAAACTTATAAGGTCCAAAAATGTCTTCCCAGGCCGCTGCACGAAGCGTCCGAAAACTGCCACGTGGAGGTCATTCGGCTGCTACTGTCGTACGGGGCGGACCCCCTGCTGGTGACGTACGCGGGGCAAACTCCGCAGGAGCTGGCCGATGGCGCGGCCGAAGTGCTGCTGCGTCTTCACATAGCCGATGTGCAGGGAAAGGCGGTGGAGCCCTGGCGGTTCCCTCCACCCGCCGACGTCGTAGGTGGGTTCAGAGCTGATGCCTCTTGCGGTCGAGCATTCCTTTCGCGAACTCTTAGTAGGCACTTAATTACATGTACATTACCATTTATTTGAATGGCGTCACTGGAGAGTTCTTGGATATACATTGTGCAAGCCTAAAATTACATCATCCTCCTTCCTGGTGATGCTTGGTGATCCCAAACAACGTTTTTTTTCCAGTTATATTTAAGTATTGGATTTATTACTATTTAAGTATCTGAGTGGTTTAAGTACCTAAGTTGCTGAATCCCCAAAGTGCCCCTTGAGCCTTGCGTGATGAACGGACGATCGCCTAAACTGGTAAAAAAAAAAAACAGTTTATACAAACGGTTATTTCAACGCCCACCTAAACTTTCAGACCGCGAAGAGCTCGGCTGCGATCCGCTGCTGTCGCCGCCACCGGCCTCGCCGCCCCCACCGCCCGACTCGACCATAGAGATACAGACCACGGACGCGCCGTTGCCGCCATTTTACAGCCTACGCTCGACTTCCGGGCAGCCGGCGGACGGTCTATGGTGTCTGCTACAGGACATCACTAACATATTGCAGGTGAATACTACTATGCCTATTGCTAATCTGTGGTAGAGCCACGCAGCAGTTTCGGCTGTTGCACGAATGGGCACGCTAGTCCGGGAACGTACCACGACATCACAGTAGACCATTAAGTAGATGTATTAAACTTTCGGGTATCGTTTGGTAAGAGAGGTACCCGGGGCCTTTTTTAATGGTTTGTCGGGTTTAGTAGATGTATGAAGGCGGCGGTAATCATTTAACAACAAGTAAAATGATCTTGTACGCTTCAACTTTTCACAAAAAAAATCTTGTCATGTCAAACATATATGCCACAACACGGTGCAATTTAATTTGTCTATCGAACCCTTCTTGTGGACTTTATTACTGTATAATGGAAATTCAAGTCAGTATGTTATGGGGTACAAATCTTTCTAATCGAAAAAAAACTAAAACTACATTCACATATCAAACTTCTGCAGCTTCTAACATAACTTGTTATATTAAATTGTCACACAATCTTTTATTTATTTTATTTTATTCTACACTTGTAGAGAGACTTAAAGCGAGTACAATAAGGCTTAAAAGTAAATTAGCATAAAAACAGAGGGCCAGGGCGGAGTTGTTTCCACATTAGGACATTACAGAATATTTCATATAGACAAGAATAATAATATAGTATGAATACAATTGGTATAACTATTTTTTAAATTTGTTAAAAAAGCTATAGAATTTTTTAATACCTTGTAGTAGTAATTTTAGTGCTGTTTATGTAAAAACTCTATATCCTTCCACAGATAAAATCAAAGGAGAGCCTGTTGAAACAAATCCACTGCGGTTCGGGATCGCCCAAGGAGTTGCTGCGCGAGATTCGAACCCAAGAATTCCTGGAGAGGGCGCAGTGCCACCAACTCCTGTGCGCCGGAGAAAAAGTGAACGTTCGCGCTTCTAAAGTCGCCCTCATAAGGGTCACCGATAAGTTGAGGCAACTCCTGAAAATCGAAACAGTGCTTATTAGCTGATATTAGGCTTACGCTTCTTAAGCGTGACCCGTTGGAATCATAACAGAAACTCAACAGTTTCATTTAATCAATATTGAAGTAAAGCTTTGATTAAACCTGATTGAATATTATAAAGATATTTCAAAGAGGTAGTTTCAAGAGGTTTTTCGTGTTTATTTTTGTTAATTTAACCTTACACTGATGGTAATAATTTAAGTATTCTAAATTTATTATTATCCATCACATAACATCACCATTATCTGTGAAAAATATTGTTGTTTCAACTCAAGCTGGCTGGTGTTCATGGCAAGTATTGATGTGGGGAGATAAATTTTATTAATTTTAACAACACAGTTTCAAGACTTGCATGCCAACGCTCTGTGAAAATGTTGAAACCTAACTTGAATTGACTGAATTATTGTAATGAACAAGTATGTATCTCATTTAGGAACAAAACAAAGAATATTCGATTTATGAGACTGTATATTTTAAGGCAGCCATTACACTAATCAATTTGTTATCGCGTCAATTGAGTGGATAGTGTGAGAGATTGGAGCATGTTACTCTCAAATAGTTTGTTGTACATTGTGTATATAAAGATTACAAGTGTAAATAGTATAAATGTCGCTTTAAATGTATGATATTCTTATGGGTGCTATTTAACGTTGGTGTATGGTGTTCTAGGGTTAGTTAGTTCATAGTTGAAGTGCTTCAGCATCTATATAGTATAATTAAAAATAATAAATTAACGAGACATAGTTACCATAATATTATATAAGTTGTTAGCATAATTTAATATGTGTGTGCAATAGTATACGTGCATGTCCCTTAGACATGGGTAGATGAATTTTTTGTGAGGCAGAGATCCGGCACAGGGTTGAAAGGCACAGCACACACCATTATAATTTTGAAGTGTAATCCATAACAATGGACATACATTTACTTTGAATCTACTTGTTTTCGGGGTCCCAATTTACGATGTGTATGATTTCACTCCTAAAATAACTCTGAATGTTAAAAACGCTAATATGATTTGCAAATGATTGAATGTAAGAAATCTGCCCTTATTTGTCCCTATGATCCGATGTTGATCCTATTACCTTGTCTATCCAGGGCTATCCTCATCATGTCTTGAAACATCACCAAAATGATTTATTGTTGTGTTTTTCTATTGACAGAAAGTTGCATTATAATATCAGTGAATTTGTTTTGAGATTATGGTAGTAAATATGTTTTTTTCTATCTTCTATTATTTAGTGTGTACAGTTTTTGTTCATTGTTATGTTTGCCAATATTTGTCTACCCGAAATAAGTTTTATTATTGTACAATCATTTTCGATTATTATTAAATCAATTTATGTTATTATTTATATATACAACGCAATAAGAAGTTAGGAAAATTTATTAAATCTTATTATGCATATCGCAAAAGAATATATAAATTGTGTAAATATGACAAAATCAATCAAATTATTTTTTAACTTATTGTGACGTGATATCTTGTCCGAAATACCAACGACGTCCTATTATCAACTAATAGTGGCATTTATTTGGTGACTTGTATACATATAGCATTTTGGAACAATGTATAAATTAAGCAGGTTCTTATATTCCACAGGTCATGTTCCGCCCCATCATATTTCTTCATGGAAATACAATATAAACTTACTAACAAGTACATGATAAATCTGTGATGAAATAATATTAGGGAGATTAACTTGTGCGCGGAAACGTGAAAATAATTAATTGTAAACTTAAACTGATAATTTATACAGTTGTATACTTTCACAATGTATAATGCCTCTCCGTTGTTAGCAGTACATACAGTATATAAGTATTATTATAATAATTATTGATACAATACTTCTTGTTGATACCATAAAAATAAAGAAAGCGATCAATCAAAGTTTATTTTATTTCTCTATGTTATCTAGACGACTAAAACGCGTTTTGCGACGTTTGAGTAGCATCAGGTAAGTCCTTGAAAACGAAAGTTTTAGAATTCGTGTGACGTGATGCTGGAACGGGGCGAAGTTCTGCCATCCGTTTTCGCAACTGTGCAACAAAATCATCGTCCACGGTCTGAGGGGAATTGCTAGCCACCAGGAACTCGCCTGGTAGGCGTAGCGGTTCCCCATACAAAACTTCTGCAGGTGACGTTTTGATGTCATTTTTTAGTGCCGCCCTGATTCCGAGAAGAACGAAAGGTAGGGCATGGTACCAAGAACTCTGGTGACACATTAAAGCGGCCTTTAAATGGCGGTGGAAACGCTCTATCATCCCATTAGCTTGGGGATGATAGCTCGTAGTACGAACGCGTTTTGTGGCTCCTAAATCCATCAGTCTGTTGAAAAGTTGGGACTCAAATTGACGTCCCTGGTCCGTTGTGACAGTGATCGGTACACCAAAGCGAGCGATCCAGCCATGGGTGAATTGATCAGCGACTTCTACTGCGGTTATCGACGACATGGGCCAAACTTCGGGCCAGCGTGAGAAACGGTCTACTGCTGTTAGGCAATAAGTGAATCCGTTTGAAGAAGGCATCGGTCCAATAATGTCCAGGTGAACATGACGGAATCTGCCTGAAGGTGTGCTAATGTTGCCAAGCGGTGAAACGACATGGCGCGTTACCTTGCTGCTCTGGCAGGCGAGACACTCGCGTGCCCAGGAGCTGCAGTCTTTAGCAATGCCTGGCCAAACATAGCGGTCGCTAATGAGGCGCGCGGAAGCGCGTGCGCCGGGGTGGCTGAGACCATGTAGGCGATCGAAGACGGCTCGCCGATATTGTTTTGGCAAAAAGGGTCTAGGTTTGCCTGTTGACACATCACACAAAACGGAAATGTTGGATCCAGGTATGAGGGTTGGCTCTAACTGTAAAGAAGAATGGACCTTTACGGTTTTAAGTTCGTCGTCCGTCTGCTGAGCTTTTGCCAGGGCTGCGAAATCGTCATCGAGCGTGATAGCCTCAATGCGGGACATTGTGTCAGCAACGATGTTGTCTTCCCCCTTCACATGTTTGATATCAGTTGTAAACTGGGAAATAAACGTGAGTTGGTTAAGTTGAGCAGGGGGCAATTTTTCACGGCGTTGGACGAAAGCATAAAGAAGCGGCTTGTGGTCCGTGTAGATTGTCGCGTGTTGTGCCTCTAGTATATGCCGGAAATGCTGTACGGCCGCGTACACTGCGAGAAGTTCGCGGTAATACGCGGGCCATGTACTTTGGCTCTGTGTTAGCTTTTTGCTAAAGAATGCCAACGGCTGCCAGCCTTGATCAGACCTTTGCTGTAAGGCAGCGCCGACATGAGTGCTGGAGGCGTCCGTGTACTACCCTAAACGAGCATTTCGTTGCGGATGTACAAGCATGATGGCCTCTGAGATACTGTCGCGACACTCGTAGAAAGCACGCTCCAAGTCTGCTGTCCAGGGCATAGCTTTTGAACCTTTTAGGTTGCTGACTGTTAAAAAATCCACAAGTGGAGCTTGGAGCTTGGCGGCTTTGGGAAGAAATTGGCGGTAATAATTTACCATCCCCAGGAAGCGTCTCAAACCTTGGGCTGTTTTGGGAAGCGATAACTCGCGGAGAGCAGCGATCTTCTCTTCAGGTGGGCAGATACCATCCTTGGTTATCTTATAACCTAGGAAGATTACCTCACATGCCCCCAATACGCACTTATCCACATTGACAACGACGCCATAGTCCACCAGTCTTTGCAGGATTATGCGCAGGTGTTTGGCGTGCTCTTCAGCATCCCGTGAGAATACCAAAATATCGTCAATGTAGGGAAAAGCGAAGTCTAGTCCGCGCAAGATCTCATCGATGAAACGCTGGAAGATTTGGCCAGCGTTGCGTAACCCAAATGACATATAGGGAAACTCGAAAAGACCAAATGGCGTTATTATGGCCGTTTTGCAAACATCTGGACCAGCTACCGGAATCTGCTGGTAGGCCTTTACTAGATCTAATGTGCTAAATATAGTAGAACCAGCCAGATTATGACTGAAGTCTCCTATATGACGCACAGGGTACCGATCGGGAACTGTCCGAGCGTTTAAGAGCCTGTAGTCACCGCAAGGACGCCAGATGCCATCCTTTTTGGGTGCTAAATGCAGTGGTGACGACCAGGGGCTTTTAGATGGGCGAGCAGTACCCGCCGACACCATGTCATTAAATTCCTTCTCAGCAATTTTTAGCTTGTTGGGTGCTAGTCGACGAGGACGCGACGTGACAGGCGGCCCACTAGTTGTCGTTATATGGTGAACAGTGCTGTGTTTTATTTGACGGTCAGCTGTAGGTGGGCGCGTCACTTCCGGAAAGTCTAAAAAGAGTTGATTGAACAAGGAATCGCGAGACGGTTTTTTTACGGTCCTAATACTTGGCTGCATTATATTGCGGTTACAACAATATGCGGATAAGTTTGTAAGCTCATTGCGCAGTGTGCCGCTACGGCAGTCGGGTAGGAGGTGGAAGAAAGCTAGGAAATCCGAACCGATAATTGGGACATCCACGTCAGCACAAATAAACTCCCAGCGAAATTCACGGCGCAGTCCTAAATTGAGGTTCAGATTAACTGTGCCGTAAGTTTTAATGGAGCTGCCATTTGCCGCATTGAGAGTAAGTCCTGTATTTGAGAAACGTCCTTTTATAAGTTTTCGTGGAAAACAACAAATGTCCGAACCGGTATCTATCAAAAAATTAATTTTGGTATTTTGATCGGTAATAAAAAGGCGTTTGCTGGACTGTGCGCGATCGGTACTTGCCACGTCCGACCGCTCCCTTAGTTTTAAAGGTTTGGTAGCTCCTTCAATGGTCCAGCTGCATCCTGGTATGCATTTGCTTGCTTTGTTGCCGAAACGATCGTGGTACCAGCAAAGCTTCTGATTACGTGGGCGTGAGCGCGATCGAGAGCGGCTCCGCTTTTGATTAACGCGTGAGCTCCCAGATCGTTCATGGGTGTTTGTTCTGAGCGCTGAGACTGTTCGCGTCAATTCCTCGATCTGCCGCTGCATTGACGCGAGAGTGGGCTCAAAGGTATGATGCGCCGAAACCTGGCTCACGGTGGTAGGCCTCTCGGTCAACTCCACCAACTGGTCGGCCATCTCCGCCAACTCCGTCAAGTCCTGGATCTTCTGTGCGGCCAACACAATTTGAACCTGCCGGGGAAGCCGATTGGCCCAAATTGATCGCAGCAAGTCAGCGGGGATCGATTGCCCAGCCAGACTCTTCAAGTGTCGCATGAACGAAGATGGCTTGCGGTCACCTAACTGTTCCTTTTCTAGTAAGCGCCGCACCTTCTCCTCGAAGGAATCGGAGAATCTAGATATGATTGCGCTTTTTAAAGTTGTGTATGGTTGCAACTCGGGAGGATGTGTGATAATATCTTCGACCTCCTTCGTACACCCGGTATCTAAATGCGCCACGGCGAAATGAAACTTCGTCATTTCGACGGTAATTTGGTTAATGTGGAACTGCGCCTCTAGGCTAACAAACCACAATGCGGGCCGATCCTTGCTAAAAGGCGGTGTCCTAATTGCGATCCTGTTTACGTAAATGGGACTGCCACCGACTAGTGCAGTAGCATCACCCTCGTTGCCAACGTGGCCCTCTGAAACGTTAGATTCTCCTTGACTCACCATGGTTTAAAGGTAAAATCAGAAACGGTCAAATCGCAAAAACGCTTTACACATACACGCAGTGGAACAAATCGGTAAATACACAAACGAAACAATTTCAGTATTGCGCAGCAAACGTAATAATAAAATTGGTAGAAAAGTAAAGTAAGTCTAAATACAACATAAAATTATACTATCTTAAGTGTAAAATAGCACTAAACTTTCACTTGAACGAGTGTAAACGCAGCATCCGTCGCGAAGTATCAGTGGAGAGCTGTTAGTCACCTGACACAATGTTGCGGGTGATTGCCGCGCGTGGCGCGCTTTTCAACTTCCTCCTCGTCAAAGATGACGTAGCCGGCAGGAGGGAATAATTAAGATTCAGTACAAAGAACAAGCCGTGTTGAGAAAAACATAATCTTTTATTGTCACTCGTTGCTATAGTAATTTGTCAATATTAGGGTAATGCTAGACCGATGAGAGTAGTAAGGGTGTAAAGGATAAGAGCGGTGCTACACAGTAGCAAATGAGTCGCCACAGCGTATTCGAATAGACATATATATAACAGTATTAAAGATTGGAGGCCAATATTAGTTACTTTAGAAGAAAAGAAGGAGTATAACTATTAAGATTTCTAAAAACTGAGCCACTTTTAATATAAACTAAGTTTTAGCTTTATTATCAACATCCCCACATTAATCGTTACTTATCATGTGCTTGAAGTTTTGTTTTGATTGCGAAATCAAAGTTCAGATTATTTTCTGCAGCATTACCCTACTGCGGCGCAGCAAATGAGGGTTATGTATTCGTCATAAAAATAATTAATTTGACTACAAAAGTACGTAGGAGAAGGTAGTCAACAAACGTACAGTACTTAGTTCAAAAGCAAACGACAAGCTATATTAGCAATAGAGGATGTGGTACATGGAGTATTATCATTTAGAAAAGCTGCAGATGAGTTAAAACTGTCTACACTAGAGAGCAGAGTACAAAAATTCAAGAACAGCATGAAGATGATGAAGCATCCTGCCTCCGTACTTTCAATTCAAAATACACGAGTACAAGTTTTTTCTGTCGAAGAAGAAAATCCGTTTCTGAATGTATCGTCAAATGTTGTAAAATATAATATGGTCTCACGACCATTTAAGTAAGAAAGCTAGCGTATGAGTACGATAAATCTTTGCATTTAGAATATCCAGCAAACTGGGAAGAAAATAAAGTAGCTGGAAAAATTTCCTTTACGGATTTCGTAGAAGACTGGTGTCCTCATGTTACTTGACGGCGTGCTAGTCTGTGGGCAAATATATAATAAAACTTTAATCTCTTGATTTTCGTTTTTTTTATTTTAAGTAGAATTTATGAAGGTAAAAATTATAACTTTTTCAAAGAAGGTTTTGTTTTGTAGAAAAAATATAATTTATTAAAATTCGTGGCAGTATATGGGGGAGGCCTATGTTCAGCAGTGGACTCAAACAGGCTGAAATGATGATGATCATGATGATTAAAATTTATAGAAAATTAGGAAAAGATTGTCGCCGCTGTGGGAATCAAACCCGGCATTCGCGACCTGACGCTTTAGCCACTAAGCTAAACGGCTAATTGCCACACCTGCGAAAATCTTAAGGTCTTTTATTTGGATGCGCCAGGCATTGCATCAAATGCTAAATATATTTTTAGTTTCAGTTTCTAACAAAATAAAGATAGTCTTCAAAAAACTCTATCAGCATTAAAAAGTTTAAGATACTAAATCTAATAAATCAAATCTTGAAAATCTAACCTGCATTTTTTTTACTTGGGAATAATCCTTATAAAAATCCGCCGCCTTGTAGGTAGGCAGCAGCGGTGTGGGAGTTAAGGGTGTATCCACTAAAAACCCACGTTGCACCTGCGCTGTCGCTTTTGCCGGGGACACGTGAACACGAAAATGCAATCCTCCGCGAACCCTCCGCGACTGACGTCTTCTCAAGTTTCCTCTCCGGGTGTTTGGACACCTGGTCCAGTCAAATGGGCCATTTCGGTGCAATCAATGTACACGGGACTCCTCTCAAGCCCTCCGCGGGGCAGCAGTTGGTCCCACGTCTGCTGCATCGAGGCTTCCTATCAGGGGTGAAAGGTTTCGCGCGAAGGCCAGCTCTGGTCTTCGTCGGCGGATTTCCAGGGTGGAAGTTGCCTCCCTTAGCGGCCTCCTTCCGCGTCATTGTGTCCTCGTTGAATGCAAGAACATGTCTCTCACTGTTCACAATAGCGCGAACCACATTGGGCAGCGAGAGATCGTGCCCTCGATAGACCTCAGCTCTCTGCGCTACTTTCGCCAGGCTGGGCACTCCTCTAGTGCGTGTTGCGTCGTCTCTTCGGCACATAAGTCGCAGTGGTGGCAAATCGCTGTTTGCTCCCTCCCCGCCAATTCCCAAAAGAACTTACTTCGCCCGGTAGGTGAGGGTGCCGTGACGCCTGTCCAACCCCCGACTGAAAATTGGAGGTATGGCCTCCGTTTTATCCTTTGGGTACGGAACCCTAAAAACATTGAACAGAAATGAGAACTACTTTCTTTTTTAAAGTTTAATGAAAAGTAATATTGCCGCCTTTTCAGGATGACACCTGTTATGCTTCGGAGCAATAAAGTTCTTACCTTTATATTATAACAGTTATAGCGTGTCGAAGATATTGAATAACTTACCACCACCACTACGAACAAACGTGTCCCACTATATCTGTATGATTTTAAAACAGCATTCTTGTTGTCTTTAATAGACAGAAGTCGCGCGGGCATGTCTGCCACCAAATACGGGGGTCGTGAGAGGTGCTATGCTAATTGCATTAGTACAGCACCATATGGCTAGACTGGGTGTCCAGCCATATGGTACTGGGAATAAGAAGGCCTTAGTCATGGAAGAATGCGTTTTCGTGTTCCCGTGCCAATAAACGCGACAGTGCAGGCGTAACGTGGGTTTTTAGTGGATTTTTTACCCGTTCTCTCAGGGACTCCCACATATCTCTGCCCCTCGCCCGATCCATTGGCTAAGAAGGATTTTTCCCACATCCGTCATTCAATGTCGGCAAGCTGTAAATGTCGGCGGGCTAACAGCAAACTACACGTACACAAAAAAAAACATCCAAAATTGATTGTAACAAAAGGCAAACTTAATGCAAATAAGCATTTTTTTCTAGTCGGCCCGATTGCTCGGCATATATTTATTGTCTGTGTGAATTTTTATTCTTATGTAAATTATTAAACTTATAATCTGTAGTGTAGTTTACGATTTAAGTTTACGTTAAATACGTTAATTTAGGGCGAGGCAAGAATTGAATTTCTAAATATCTTTGTTTTATTGATTCCAAAAAATCATTTTATCATAAAAAAAGATAAAAAATGTTTGTGACAGGATGAACACAAAATTAATTAATCCCCATTTGTGGTTATCGAAAAAAGAAACAATGAAGATTTTCTTAATATTGCTCGCCGTTACACATTGCGTGAATAGTCAAGGAATGGAAACTTCAATACCGTTTAATCCAAATTATTCACAACAACCTGATTTAAATCAAAATGGATCACAGTACAGGCCTAACCCACAGGTGCCTTATGGCAGTTTTCCTGTTAATGGAAATGAATATAACCACCCACAAAGTTCTTTCTATCAAAGTGGTGGTAATTCTGATACTTATAATGATGATGATAATGAGGTAGATCCACAAAATACAGCAAATTACTATGCGGGATTAGATTATGAAGAGAGATATAGGTGTCCGCCTAATTGGATTCGCTATAGAGAATCATGTTATCGGTTCACAAAATCGCCGGATCGTCCTAGGAATGAAGCTCGCAAAATTTGTCAGGCATATAGTGCCGATCTGGCCTCAGTTAATTCACCTGAAGAACATGGTTTCATTGTAACGAATCTCATGAAGTTAGATCCCCAGAAAGGTTCTTGGTATATCGGCGCTCATCAGTCATCTCCGGGCTACTGGGCTAATGAAGGTGATGGATCGCAACTTACCGGTCTGGAAAATGCTTTCTTTGACGATCGTAAGTCGGCTTTAACAAGCTATAACCTGTATCCACTTGATTATTTAGTGTATAGGTTTATGAATGAAGAGGGTCGATGGGGTCTTGCGCCAGTGGAAGGTACACAGTACTATCACTTCATTTGTGAGGGACAAACACAAAGGCTGCATTATTTGATTGAAGAAGAACGCTCATTTACTTATGGATTAGAAAGATATGATCCGGAAGCAATACCTAGAGGTCCGTATATAATTAAAGAACCAGTTGACACAATATATGATCCTCTTAGAAACCATTATATACAATTAACTTGTATTGCTGGTGGTTATCCAGCTCCAACATACAAATGGTTTAGAGAAGATTATCAAGTTGATAAATTAGTGTTCACAGAAATAGATCCTTTATCAGAGTCAAGGTTTATAATAAGTGGTGGTACTTTGATGATCTACAATCCTATATCGGACACAGATAATGCACAGTATCACTGCACAGCTTCTAACAAATTTGGGACTGTACGCTCCGAATCAGTAAGACTGTCATTTGGTTTTATTCGTGAATTCAATCAAAAACGGCCGATAGAGAGTGGTAATCAGTATTGGGGTAAGGTAATGTCATGTGATCCTCCATCATACTATCCTGCTGTTAACTTTCTATGGGCAAGAAATTATTTTCCAAATTTGGTAGAGGAAGATAAGCGTGTATTTGTATCTTACGATGGGGGTCTATATTTTTCAGCTTTAGAAACGATTGATAGGGGTAACTACAGTTGCAATGTAATGAGTAAAGTATCAGATGCAGGAAGAAATGGCCCTTTCTTCCCTTTGTATGTATACCCACATTCGGATTACCAACAGCTTAAGTTTCCCAACAATTTTCCCAAAGTATTTCCAGATGCTCCAGTTGTAGGCCAAGAGGTAAGGTTAGAATGTGTTTCTTTTGGCTATCCAGTACCATCTTATAACTGGACCAGAAAAAATGGCAATATTCCTAGAAAAGCTTATCTAAGCAATTATGACAGAGTCTTAACTATACCCCATGTCGGAGTGGAAGATGAGGGCGAATATATTTGTGATGTACGCAATGACAGAGCTAACATTCATAACAGTGTGTTTTTAAAGATTCAGGCGGAGCCTAACTTTACTATACCTCTTTCAAATAAACACATGGATAACAAGGGAGATTTGCATTGGAACTGTGAAGCATTTGGAATTCCAGATGTTAATTACACATGGTGGAAAAATGGTGTTAAGCTTTCTATGGATACATTGGAAGATGAAGATAGAGATAGATATGTAATACAAGACAATGTGTTAATAATAAAATTTTTGGATCCCAATAGAGACCCTGGAATGTATCAGTGTGAGGCAAAAAATCAGTTAAAAGCGAAATATTCAACTGGCCAATTGAGAGTTTTATCCCTAAAACCATCATTTAAGAAGAGGCCTTTGGAATCTGAAACTTATGGTTCAGAAGGTGGTAATGTTACGCTTAGGTGCAATCCAGAGGCAGCACCCAAACCAACATTCACTTGGAAAAAGGACAATATTGTTATAGGTGCTGGTGGCAAGAGGTTTATAACTGAGACTGGAAATTTAATAATAAGGCAGCTATCAAGAGATGATGAAGGAGTTTACACCTGTGTAGCTAAAAACCAATATGGATCTGATGAAAGCAGGGGACGGCTCATAGTATTAAGAACACCGCGATTTCTAGAGCGTCTTCCTCCCCGAATAACCACTCAAGTTGGTGAGGTTGTCTTCTTGCATTGCAATGCTGAAGTAGACCCAATCTTGGATACTGCATATCTTTGGAATCACAACGGTATGCGACTAAAGGACGAGTCAGACATGTACGCCGATAAGAGAATCAAAATAGACGGCGGGGAGCTGACGATTTTTGACGTGAGCCTGTCAGATGTAGGCGATTACGAATGTATCGTGAAATCTGCGATTGGTCGGATCTCCTCTCGCACCCAATTGAGAATAGAAGGCCCACCCGGCGCCCCCGGCGGCTTACAGATAATGAATATAGGCCGCTCATCTGTTACTCTCGAATGGACGGATAGCAACTCCAACGGTCGACCTATAACTTCGTACGTGGTCACCGGTAGAACCCAGTGGAACACCTCGTGGAGCGTTGTCAGTGATAGCGTGGTGAACGTAATGGAGATAGACCGATACAACGGTCGGAAACGAGCAATAATCAATACAGCGCTCATGCCTGGATCTGTGTACGAGTTTAGGGTTCAAGCAGTCAACGCATTGGGCGTTGGCAAAGCGTCCGCACCCAGTCCGCAGTTCTCGACGCTGCCCGATAAGCCTTACCAAGCACCTGCCAACGTCGGCGGAGGCGGCGGAAAGATCGGCGATCTCACGATAACTTGGACACCGCTGCCGCCGCCCCTGCAGAACGGACCCGGTATACACTACAAGATATTTTGGCGTCGCAACGGCACCGAAGTCGAATTCCAGTCCCTTTTGCTCAAAGAGTACGGAAATGTCGGCATGCACGTCGTTCATGTATCGCTAAGTTACTTCTATACCCCTTACAATGTAAAGGTTCAGGCATTCAACAGTTTGGGAGCGGGCCCAGAGAGCGATATTGTAACAATATACTCCGCAGAAGATATGCCTCAAGTCGCTCCACAACAAGTTTTCGCTCGTTCTTTCAACTCGACGGCGCTCAATGTCACTTGGAATCCTATCGACCAGTCACGCGACCGTCTGCGAGGCAAGCTTATTGGCCACCGGTTAAAATATTGGAAGCAAGCGAACAAAGAAGAGGAATGCATATACTATTTGTCGAGAACCACCCGGAATTGGGCTCTTATCGTCGGATTGCAACCTGATACCTACTATTTCGTAAAAGTAAGTATGTTGCAAATGTTTTAAGCACATGGCAAAAGTCTATAATTGTTTGAACGTTCTGAACATATATCAAACATTACTTGGTTTATATTGCGTTAGGTAATGGCGTTCAACTCGGCGGGTGAAGGGCCGGAGAGTGAGCGATATTTGGAGCGAACATTCCGCCAAGCACCCCAGAAGCCACCGGCATCGGTCAACGTATGGGCCGTGAATCCCAGCACAGTTCGTGTCGTTTGGCGATATGTTCAGCCCACAGACGAGGAGGAACCTCTTATTGGATATAAGGTATCTAATGTTTCTTTTATGTGAGATGGTGTCAAATGGATGGTGATGGAAGTGATAACCGCCGTTCCTTATGACATTTGACATTTGCAACACCTGTGGGGTTGCAAATGTCAAATGTTTCACACTATTACTTTACACTGGTTTTCTGTGAGGTTGTGGTACAAACATGGACAGACCTGCCCATTTGTACAACAGCAAGCCTAGTCCTACTACAGTTAAATGAAATGCATATAAAGGAAATACCTCAATTACATATAAAATTTTCTGTTGTTGGATATAATCAAATTGTGATGATTAATGGATGTTTAATATTTAATTAAAAAAATCTTTTATTGATTTCAATAAATGGATATGTGGCATACATAAACAATTGTTAAACTAACTAAACTAGGAAAGAACAACAAAATTATAGAGGTTAGTCACTTTGCTTTCCAATATTGACGACTTATACAAAATGAGCCATCAGCAGCATGGTTGTGTGAAATTTTAATTTAATGTAGTTAAAAATTAAGTTTATTATTTTTGTTAGTTTTAATCAATTTGATATAACTCAATATCAGGGTGCCGTGATAGCTCAATATCAGGGTGCTCGCCTTTAATTTAATGTACAATATAAATGCCAGCACTAATGAAATTGTTAATTTTAAATGTTGACTTATAACATGCTCAGCGGTGAAGGTAAACATTGTGAGGAAACCTGCATATTTTGTAATAATGAAAAAAAAATATTTAAAAGATATGTGAAGTCCGCCAATCCACAGTGGTCAATCCACAGTTCCATGGTGGACTATGCCCTATTACCCGCTGTACAGAGGAGTCCTTTGCCCAGCATATATGTATGTTACTTTACTTTAATCGATTTAAGTTAAATCTATTGTTCTTCTTAGGTGAGAGTTTGGGAAATAGATCAAGACATGAGCACTGCCAATGATACAATGGTACAAGTGGAACATAAATTGGAAGCCTATGTGACCAACCTGATTCCGGGCAAGTCATACAATCTTCGAGTGCTGGCATATTCCAATGGGGGGGATGGTCGGATGTCCTCACCTCCAATCACATTCCAGATGGGTGACTACCATAGTGATGCATATGGATATTATGTAAGGGATGCTGGCCTTATCAATCAATCTATGGCGATGGAAGCCCTCTTGTTATTTTTATTAAGTGTACATGTTCTTCGTAATTACCTCTTATTATGAGTTTAAGTATAAGTTTGAGTTTAATCTTTTATGTAACTTTTACAAGCTTTATTTTTTAACAGCATACAAATCTTTTTACTTTACACACATTTGTTTTAGGTTGTGATATTATATCCGCCCATTTTATTTATTTTAAATAGTTTTCGCATGCCAGTTATTGATTTATTTTATTCTATTATATGTATAATTTTTTTAGGTATAATAATACCTTTGGTATAATAATACATTTACAATTTCATTATAAAATATCACTGCATTTATAAAAATGAAATATACATTATGTACAATTGATTATGAATTTTGAATGTTGGAGATCTATTTCTACTAATTGTAGATTTATTATAAAACTTAAGAGTATTTTTGTACTTTAGGAACATGTAGGGACAATAAATATCTAGTTTTTATAATTTCTTAATATATTGCGAATCTCTTAGTCAGTAAGAACATGTTATATTTCTTATGATCTGCTTCTTTTTTACCACCAATCCGAGCCATTTTGTGAAATACTTTAAAACTACTTAAGATTATCAATGTACATAAATGTGGGAATATGTAATTTTTTTAAGATGTAATTTTAAGTACAGTATAAAAGATTCAGATTTAAAAAAATTATAAAATGTAAAGAAATTACTACAAATGTTAACATATATATTGCTTAATTTTTGTAATTATACCTAGGCATTTATGCTTCTTGATATTTGTTCTATAATAAATAAACATTAAAATCTAACATGGCCCCACAGAAATAGCTTTTTATTTAATAACTAATCTCATCTGTATTAGGAAAAACTAAAGGGTTTTTCAAAAACTTTAATAATGTGATTAAATCCATCATTACCATCACTGATGATTCATCAGCCATCCCATGTTGGCAATGTCCTTAATCTTAGAGCATTCACCACATATTGTGGTAGGGCCACGCAACAGCTTCGGCTGTTGCAGGAATGGGCAGGTCTGTTCGGGTTAAAGTAGAAGTATTGTATTTATAAATATTAAGAAACCTTTTAACAACCTTTTGTTGCAACCTTTTAATATTTTTGAGGTCCGGCTATCTCACTCAGCAGATAGAACACAGAAGTATAACACTTCCACTTCATGCTGGTCTTTTGTGACGTCGACTTAACCGGATGGACCTGCCCATTTGTCTGCCAGGTGAAATAACAATTTATAATAATAAAAATTTTCTTCTATACAGTAACTTGTATGTTTGTATAAATACTTTATATTAATTTTTTCAGTTTCCATAAAAAGTATATCTTTATTTCTGTTGACTGAAATACAACAGACTTATTTTATTAATATTTAATTTTGATAATTTTATTTTTAGTATTAGTCTGTGTATATATATGTAAATGTGTGTTTATATTGTTGAAAATTTATCAGCGCTGCCCGGATTAGAACCTGGTAATTTTGGACATTTGTTAAACATGAGCCATGCTTAGTTTACAAGCATAAACATGCTTAGTTTACAAGCGACACCAAGAGGCAGGTAGCTTTAACTGAAGATCCGGATCTGGCAGAAAAAAGTGCACATTAGGAGAGTGATGAGATCGTCAGTACTTCGCTCAGGTCGGGCTTTTTGGTCCAACAGGAGCTGAGAGAAATGTGAAGAGTGGCTTTTAGCGGCTGCCGACATTCAGAAGACCAAAGGCGGGTAACCTGACTCCAAAAAGATCGACTACTGTCCTTAAGTCAATCCCAGCTCATCGAGCAGCACGATTACGTTTCGAAAGAGAACATGTTCTCTTCTCAGATGAAAGCAGAGTGGGTGTCCGTGCGATAGACTAATCTACAGAAGACCCGAAGAGCGAATCGCCTAGTGCTGCGTAGTCGAAAATATTACGGGTAAGTGTTATTGGAAAATTCCTGTCCATATGCTGCAGTTTTGGTTCAGCGGTACTTGCAAGAGATCGAAATTGAGTGCATAAGGTGGCCAGCACGTAGGTCATACTTAAATCCTATTGAGCATAATGGGACGAGCTTTAAAGGACAGTTCGGGCTAGGAATCCTGCGACAGCTATGAGGTTGAAGCTTCAAGCCGCACACTGAAGAATAGAAACAGTTACGAAGAATAGAAAAACCTTATCACCGACGCTTGCTCTCTTGTTTTAGCTCGGCAACGTATAGGTGCACACATACAGGGAGGTTTTTTTAAGTGTATCCATTTTTTTATTAAATTCTAGACATAAATAAAGTTATATAAAAAATGATAAATATTTAAAATCACTCGAAATTAATTAATTATATTCATTTGAACTTATCTCAGAAAGTGCGTGATTTATGGGCAACTCATTTATTTTACGCGCGTTCATTGATAACTAACACGCACATAAGTTCGTTTCAATTGCATTGTAGTATGCAAAATTGCATTGTCAACAAGTTCCGTTTTTTAGGGAATACAATGGCAATTTTTTGAAAAAAAAAAGTATGTTTTTATTTCATTAAACGATTATACTAACGAGACTGAACCTCCAGTGTGAATTTGGGCACCTTTATAAACGAGGGGGTTTCAAAGCAGGGCACAAAGAAATATACAATTCTGTATAATGTATTCAATATCTCATTGTCTCGCCGGCTTAAACCTATATATTTATGTAATATATAGGTATATTTATGTAATATATAGGGGTAACACATATAAAGAAGTCTCATTTCAAAAATATAATGTGCTAACTTTATTTAATTCAAAACTCGACCGTTATGGCAGAGTGTTGTCGATAACCTCGACAAGTCAAAACTGTCTTGACTGACCGGCGATCGCCCCCAATAACGACACCCAGCAAACGTCGCATTCTAACATGAATTAATATTTGGCTTAAGATTATTAATACATTACACGATAACTATAAATCATTTTTAATTATATAAATTGGTATTTCTTTTATTTTTAATAATTTATTGTTAACATAAATTTAATTGCTCATAATATTGAAGTTTGATATTGACTGGTTTTCGCGTCATTTATTCGTGAATGCAATAAGCGCTTGTGATTGGCTCAATTGTCTAGTCAAAAGATTCAAATTTCTAATTTGACGGGCATCCTAATTCTTATTCCTACCCCCATCAGTCCTGCACTTTAGAACGGAACGCATCGTGTACGAAAAAAGTACTCGGTTTTTCTGTTTTATTGATGGGGAGGCTATGCGTAATTCTTTATGTAAACTGCACAGAACGATATAGTGTAGTGATATAAACAAGAATAGCCATATTTAGCTAGTATCTGTAAAGATCGTGACAACCTGTGCCAGCGTACGTGGCAGCAGTTCTGCAAAAGACTTACCAGCAGAAGTCTTGGTGAGTACACAAGCAACCCTCCATAACTACACTCTTCTTGCAGTCCACTTCGAACTGCGGATACCATCATTTTGGTATCCTCAACCTAGATAGTATCCTCAAAAATTGCTATTTCTCTGCTATCTTTAATTCTTAGTTAACGCAGCATACTATTTTACATATTTAGTATGTATATAGATAGTCTTAAAGATTTCTGCTTTGCGGAATATACTTGGTAAACCCCAATGGCGTGCAGTGATTTCGGATAGGGTATGAGCTAAATAATAAAATTATCAATTTCAGCATTATTCGGGTGTATACTTACATGACTTATCGGACGGAGAAATTTAACTTAATTTCCTTAATATATTATTATTTTATATTGCATTATATCTCTCTAAAGATATCTCTTCGAAAGTGCAGGTATACTTTTCCATTTCTTACAGTAAACTTAACTAAATAATAAATAACGATACAATACAATATCAGCCTGCTGCTGCTGCTGAACATAAGCCCAAACGTACCCCAAAATGCGCCGACTATACCTATAATAAATTACGTAAAGGTAATCGCTTACGCCAAGAAAACCAATCTATACAATAACTAATCTCGCTAAAAATGATTTAATTATAACTGCACGATTTACATTAAGTAGCTGAATGTAACTGAAAAGAGCACTTACTGTCGGATCACATTATTCTGTGTTGTAAGAGCATTTACAAACATACATTTTACGTGGACAAACACCCAGATCCGAAACAATTATCCGTGGGTCGCACAAATACTTGTCTCGTGTTGGAATCGAACCCACCACCACTGGCGCCGAAGCCTACCTTGACAACTGCGCCACGGAGTCTGCAATTGAGAGATAGTAAGGTAAAAGCTGTGTCGAAAAGTACATTTGGATAATTGAAACTTGTTTTTTTGCTTCTCTCACCATCTGTGAATGGTTGATCGCGTATGAACTTTGTGTGTTCTGTCGTTTCTATCGTATAGATACCACCCATAATAATTGGATTTTGGTATGGGTTTTTCTATTTGATTCGGGAAATTAAGCAAACCATGTGCGTAAATACTTACACTCGTATTTATGTATACTTACTCTAAAGTAAACCTGAAAAACACCGGATAATACGACTAGGTTGGGGCTAGAGCGAATGTTAGCGTATAAATATACAGGGTGTCGTTACAACCGCGACATTAAATGAACACATTCTTTAAACATCAATATTTACAGTTATTAATTTTTCCAAAACAAACAATTTTAGAACACCGTATGTATAAAACTGTAACGTAAAGTTCATTTGTAAATGTCACAAAGCATATGAATGGGTTGAATAAATTAAAAAGAGGTAAAACATACTGTTAGGAGGAGAGATTTGTAATGCGACGCTGTGGCAACGAATGAGAAAGTCTCTGAATGTATGAATCAGTCAGTTGTAGTTGTATAGGAGGATGTTACAATTTTTTTTTCTTTTTTATTTAATTAGTTCATTTATGGATTTTTTAACGCTTATATTTTTTTATGATTATTGGCAAGTAGCGTTAGACGTGTGTTCTTTTATTGTCGCGGTTTTAACGACACGCTGTATATTTCAATATTTCGCCAGCTCCCGAAAGTTCTATACATATTGCTTTAAAATGTTGATCAAAGGTTACTTTGGAAGACTATTTTGCAAATTTTTATATAATTAAAATTATTAAGGAATTGAAAACACGCGTCTACATCTTTTCCATCTAAGGGCGCTTTTAGTGTCACGCGGATTTGCTCACGCACGCGGGATTGGACCGCATGCGTAAAATTTCACGCTGCGGATCATACGCAGCATGAGTTTCAGTTTTCTACGGGCTGCGTAACGGTATAGACGTGTTCAAAAATGATCAATGTCAGAAGAATATGTGTCGCTTACATACTTTACAAACGACGAAACAAGAAGACAAGAGTACATGTTGATCCCTTTCTTGAAAATAGGCTTCTTGCTGGGGCGTTTGTTACACGCTTTGGAAAACTACAAAATAATGAACGTAAATTTAAAAATTACTTTCGAATGTCCATTCGTTCTTTTGATGAACTGTTGTGTAAAATTGAGAATAAGCTACAAAAAAGCAGTTTACGAAGGATTACAATACAACCGATTGAGAGGCTCGCTATTACATTAAGGTAAGTTTTAAATTTTAAATATTTAATTTCCTGCTATGATTTAGTGGAAAGGGATTTGAACAGGTAGGATAAACGTTTTTTGACTTCAAATTACTGTCATGTGTAAATTTACATGTGCAAAAAAAAATTTTGTCATGTACTCTGAAATTTCATTGTTCATAATTTCATTCAATTTCATGTTGAAATTTCATTAAATAAGATTATTTCACTCATAAAATGTCGCCATTAAAGTGGAATCATTCCTACCTTTCATCACACGCTACTTATTATAATATAGATAAAAGTTATAGGTTTGCACATGACAGTAATTTAAAGTCAAAAAAAGCCCTTAATTGGTTTGGGATTGGTACGTTCAACCTACATACACAATCCTTTTTTTTATCTGATAAAGTACACATGGCCACAGATCAAGTTACCCAAAACCAGCATAAATGGAACTCGCGCCTTGCGTATTATCATACTTAGGTAACCCGTCGGAGTCCCGCTTATACTGGATTTGAGTAACTTGATCTGTGCCGTGTGTACAACCGCACTCATATGACTAAACAAACAATTAGAGAGAAACTGGAGAAAAAAAGTTAATCGTACTCATTTTAATAAAAAGAGTTTTATTCATAAATTAAAAAATCAAATTTTACATCATTCATTTCTTTGTAAATTTGTATCCTGAGCGTTGACATTACTTTCGCCTGTAGATGATGTTGTTGCTGGGGTATAAATTACGTCATAAGACGTGACATTAAACAGGCCGCTTTCAGTCGAAATAAGAGTTTCATTGTCATTCACTGCAGCAGAACTAATAGCATTGTCGTTAAGACTCGAAGTATCCTGGATTATACTATTGGTTTGGTAATCTTGATTTATCGGTGACAAACTGTCAAGCTCAGTAAAAGCACTAGAACTTGTTGTAGGTATGGGACTGTAGTATGCAGGTTGTGTTTGACTTTCCATTTCCATAACTATATTTAACACTTTTGTTCTGAACATTAGTTTTTGATATCTAGTGAATCTTTTTAATGAAGGCTGCAGAGACTGAAAGAAAGCCAAATCCTCACTTTCTAGCTCCAGTTGATTAGACTTTAAGCATTCTAATAACTGTGCCTCAAATTCAGATGGTGCTTGCTTTTTAGATTTTACTTGTTTTTGTTTTGATGTTGGGTGAGAACTTTCTTGACGTGAAGTATCTGGTTGCGTGGACTCATTAGGTGTTTCTAAATTACTTTGTTCAGACATTTCTTCACAGAGTGACTCTTCTCCAGCAGTTTCCGTTGTACTGTCTAAGAAAGTCAAAATGTCATAGTAAGAATATTTCTTCTTCTTCTTCTTACTCCCAGAGCCGGATGGCTGATTTTTTTCAGATATCTTGTCTTTCTGGTAAGTGTCCCTTGCTGTTCGCCAGCGTTGTTGTATTTTCTTGTCTGAAATGACAAAATATAATAAGTAAGTGGCAAAAGTACACACAGTTTCAGATCAAGTTACCCAAAACCAGTACCAATAAACGGAACTTGCTAGGGCCTCGCCGGGCGCCGAGTCGTCTACGATAATAAACAACGCATGAGTCCTGTTTATACTGGTTTTGGGAAGCTTGATCTGTGGCCGTGTGTACAAATCTGATATTAGTTGGAAATTTAACTGCATTCGATTAAAGGCCCTCCTTAATTCACACATGTTGTCAACTTTACACTGTCTCATGAAGCATTAGATAAATCAAGCAATATATATATACCTATACAGAGTGGAAAAATAAGGCCGCAGTTGAAGGAAAAGTACCCTTAGGCGCAACGCAAAACGGCGGGCCGGCGCAGGCCGGTCAATTTCGCCGCGAACGATAGCGCAAAGTGAATCTTATACTAGACGCAGACGGCGCGGCCGGGGCGGCGCGGCGCAGACATCGACGAAATAATTCACTTTTTACAAAAATAATTAGAACTTCATTTAAGGATTTTTGGAAAAACACCGGATTGAATCGGGCAATTTGTTTATTTGTTACAGTAAAATTTGCCATCATCAAAATTAAGGTGAAAACTTCCGGAAGGAGGACATCTTGTAATGTAAATATTGCCTGAAATAAACGATATTTCATTATATTATATTATATATATTTATTAGATTCCTTTCATTTGCCGGAAATTTTACCATAGGGGTTAATTTATACAGAGAAGATTTCTTATAAAATATTTACAGCATAGTTATGTGTCTCAAATCTGCTAAAAGTGGCCACTTTTAGCAGATATGAGATACATAACTATACTTCGAACTTTTCATATGAAATCATAACTGCATAAATACCCCCCTATGATAAAATTTTCGGCAAATCATAGAAATCTAACGTAGCTATAGTACTGTAGTTAAAACGAATTAAAAAACTTCTAGCGCTAGCTACTTCCGTGCCCTTTCACCTTAAGGGTATTTATTTTTCTTCTGAAGTAAAATTCGAGCGGTGCATGCTGTCTTATGTCTGATGTCAGCATTATTAATATATTATGTTATCATATTATTAATATATTGTTTTTGTTTTCAGATATTTGGCAACTGGTAATACATTCACTGATCTACACTATTCCTATGTGATTGGAATTGCAACAATTAGCGAAATAGTAAGACAAGTTTGTTACATAATATGGATTGAACTAAAGTCTGAATGTATTCCACAGCTTAATGGGATCAAATGGAAAGAAATCGCAGAGGGATTTCTCACATATACAAATTTTCCTAATTGCTTGGGTGCAATTGATGGAAAACATATAAGAGTGATTCGGCCGCCGCACAGTGGATCACTATATTTTAATTATAAGAAATATTATTCTGTAGTGCTCCTCGCAATGTGTGATGCTGATTATAATTTTACATATATTAATGTCGGTACCAGTGGAAGCAACGCCGATTCAACCATCTTTAGAAGGAGTCAATTGTATACGAAACTGGAAAGTAACACGTTGGGTATCCCTGACCCGCAAGAGTTGCCTATTATTTGCCCCGAAGTAGCTTATCCATCTAGTGTAAGAGCAAAGTTGCCGTTCGTGATAGTGGGAGACGAGGCATTTGGTTTATCATCACATGTGATGCGGCCTTATGCTCGTGATAATTTACCTTACAAAAAGAAAATATTTAATTACCGTCTGTCCAGAGCTAGAAGGTACATAGAATGCACTTTTGGAATTATGTCAAATAAATTTAGAATATTTCACAGATCCATGAATGTCAAGTTAGATCTAGCACAATTAATAGTCAAGACGGCATGTGTACTTCACAATTTCATAAGGAAACGGGATGGCTACAAGGTCAGCCATACATTTGTCACAAATGGTTTTACGGGACCACTACCCAGGCAGCAGACTGAAAGTAGTAATACGTCGGCAAGTAATATCAGAGATATATTTGCAGATTACTTTATCAATGAAGGAAAAGTCTCCTGGCAACACCGATATATAATTAATTAACTAAACTCAAAAGGTTTTAGAAGGTTTTTGATGTTATTTGTGAATTAAATAATTATGCTTATATTAATAAAGTAATGATGCTTGTATAAATAAAATAATGAACCAAACACATACCCGCCTCTTTTCTTTCCTCTTCGCTCAAATTTTCGTAGTTAGGTGCCAATTCCTTCAAAATATCTCTCCATGCAGCCTCCCTCGCGTCCCTGTTTTTGTATAATTCATTGCGTTTATCCCACAAAACGGGCCGCAGATGAACTTCAATGATTACTCGTTCTGTATCGATTTTCATTTCGGTAGTACAATACGGCGCGTGCGCCCCGCTCGACTCTAAAATGGGCACTGAAGTTGTAGGCAGCGCTTACGCATGCGGATACCCCGCACCGGGGTGACGCCCCGCACAGCGCCCCGCGTCCCGCGTGCGTTTATCACGCTTTACAATAGATACCTATATGATATTGTTCTTTGCGGATGCTACGCATGCGGTCCAATCCCGCGTGCGTGAGCAAATCCGCGTGACACTAAAAGCGCCCTAAGTACAGCTAATATAATATTAATTGAAATAGTGAATAAGACCAAAATTATATAATCTATGAGCTCATTGCACAACTGTAGTGTGAGTATTGTTGCTATGTAGTATTTATTGGTGGTAACTTACGAACGTGTTAATTTCTTTGTAAAATTTTGAAGTTTCATAAGAACGCGCAAGCGTCTATGTGAATACAGATACTTTATTAATATATTATTATTATGCAATGAGCAAAAATGTTACAATAACGAATAAAAAATAATGTGTTTATGATAAGACAATCGCTTACAGTTATTTCAAACGACAAAGATAGCAATAAAAACAACTTTATTATACACTTAGATCGGTGGTCATATTTTTTTATATTTCATCTTACGTTTTAAACATTTGGCATCAACTGTGTCCAAACTATCTGAATCGTCGCCTTTCCTCTTCAACAAAACGTCGTTGTCCGCGGTTGGCATTTGTTTTAATGGAAGCAATCCGACTGCAAACGGTATGTCTCCTTCTAGTGTCGAATTCTCACCTTGATTTGAACACGTCTCTGAACTTTCTTTTCTTCTTTCATCTCCATTCAAAATTTCCTCCCACTGATTTGATTTAAGTTTAATACATTCGGTTAAATCGATTATTGCGTCTGAATATGAAGTGCTCGTTTCATCAACGGCTGCACCGTTCGGTGTACTGCTGTCATCGTGACTAGGTTTTTCCTCTTCACAATTCTTTTCGATCACCTTTTCGCTTACATTTATACTATCCCACTGTAAATCGTCCGTTGCGATATCCGTTGGACGTTCCGCATCGCATTTATCGCGATCCGTTTCCTCCATATCGCCAATCTCCTTCTGGAAGACTTCCTCCACGTTGAAACTGGACTCGGGTTCATCCTTCTCGTCGTCAAGACCGTTTTTGCTATTCTCAAGGTGGATCTTCTCCTCGATATTAATCAAATCATCGATCAACGCGTCCCTCTCTTGAGCCCTTTTGTCCAAATCGTCGTGGTGATGGTTGAAATCGCCCCGTTCGTCGTCACTTTGCTTCGAGCTCGATATCAGACAGTCGAGCGGGTCTTCCTTAAAGTCCGAGCCCTGCGGCAGCTGCAGACTAAAGTCGTAGCAGTCCTCGCTCCTTCTCAAGTCCTCGTTGTTCAACGGGTTGAAGGTTTGCGACATGTTCTCGTTCATGTTCGAGATTTTCGTGTCGAGCAGGGACATGTTGAAGCTGGTGTCGAGGGACGTGCTCGGGCAGAGCTGCTCCATCACCCTCGCGTCGCTGAGCTGCTGGTCCTCGTAGTACTTCTTCACGTCGTCGCTCATCGACTTGGTGAAGAACTGCATGTCGCTGTCGATGCACGAGAAGTCGTGCGAGGCGACCGCGTCCATGTTCGACTGGCCGCCCCTCAGCTCCTGGCCTAGCACCACGTAGTTCTGCTGCTCGCCGAACGTCTCCAGATTGTCGGGCAGGATAGCGCTCAGGCTGTTGATCGTGTCCTCGTGGCGGTCGTACTGGGGCGCCTTGTCGTAGCCGCCGCCGTAGCTTTTGCCGCCCATCAGCATCTCGCCGCGCTCGATCGACTTGGACAGGTCGTCGATGCTCTTGATCTCGCTGGGGTCGGCCACCTTCTCGATTATGTTCGGCTGCTCGATCACCTCGTACTGTATCTCGCTGCTCTGCACCATGTCGAGGAGGACCTGCTCGTTCACGTTTATGTAGGAGCCGTCGCCCGACTCGAAGAGGATGGGCAGGTCGGTGGGGAGGCCGGCGTTTTTGAGCGCGTTCACGTATTGCGACATTGCGGTGCCGATGCCGGGCGCGCTTTCGCCGGTGCCGTTGCTGCTGCCCGCGTCTGCGAAGCTCGACGTTATTGTCTCGTTCATCAGCGAGTCCTTGGTGAAGGGCATCTGGTGCAGCGCGTCGGAGCCCACCGCCGGGTCCATGTACATGAGGTCGTTGTCCATGTTCAGGTAGCTGTTCGCGGCGGCCTCCGGGTCGCATATGCTGTCGACCGCCTGCGACAGAGTCACCCTATCCATGTAGTCCTGTTAGGGGGAAATTAAGTTTTATACGTTTCATGCGCTATTTCTCTCTTTTAAAAAGGATCGGTTGTCGAGCAAGCGGTATTTGAGCTGCCCATTGACTTTTCACTAGACCCTAGTATTGTGGGATTGTGGAACAAGTTACATCACTACCCGGACCAAATGCAAAAAAGTATAACACTTTCTGGTAGTTTGTGTTACTTCCCCGGACGAGCTGGTCTGTTCGTGCAACATGAGCTGTTATGGTAGTTTTTGTTGTGGAGCCCTGTTTATACACGACTGTGTTTTCGTGCCGTCGCAAAACAGTGAGTGTCGGGCAAGGTTTATCATTCCACGAACCGTACTCATCCATGCGAAACCAAAAAAGAGGAACTGTAACGTAACTTGTTATTCATCTAAAACTGCTTACGCTAAGCAAATGAATTAGCAATGAGTTTTGGTATGACAAGTCAAGAGTAACCTGCAAGTGCCTGGTCTGTAGGTGTTTCAGCTGGTGTATCGCCTTGCGCGAGTCCTGTTCGCGTCGAAGCAGGGCGCGCTCGGCCGCCCTCCCAAGGGGGCCGCCGCCCTCCCAGCCAGTGGCTCGCTAGATTCGTACTTTTGATTATGTTTTTTTAAGGAGGAAGGCGGAAATCGAACCGTTAATTTAGCTATGTTAAGCGAAAACCACCCATCATAGATAATAGAAATATTAGTGGTGTCTCACCAACCTCAAGGGGATAGGCCTAAAGATCTAACTTCCTAGACCAAATGTAAAAGTATTTATACACCCTTCTCTATTACTACGGCGGCCTGTCGCCGCGGCACTTCCCGCGCCTTTTGCTGCCACATTAATTGTGGCAACAAATAGTGCAATCTATATATAATAGATCCAGCCCCTCTCAGGCACCCTCGAATCAGAATGCTAAACGGGTATTGATTAACAGCCCAACCCGAGGTCTCCCGTCTCGGGACCCTTAAGCTTAGTCACCAGTGGCCGGGGTTCACGCTAGGTTCAAGGCTCGAGCCCGGTGATTCTGTAAATTATACAAACATTTAAAAAAAATAAAGAAACAAAATTTGTTGTTTTAACATTCTTTTATATCATCGAACATTTTTAGATAATGGATTGTTTGATAATTAAGATTTGCTTGTTGAATAGAAACCCGTTTCAAAATGCCCGTTTGTGTGTGGGTATGTATATGCTTGTGTGAATGACTCACCCGGAGGCTGGGCCGGCCGCGGCGGGGTCTGGAGGCGCGCGAGGCGTCCGGGTGCTCCGCCCCAGCAGCGGCGCCGGTCCCGCCCTCGATGTCAAACGGGATCCGCACTACCATGTCCTTAACGTACCCGGGAAGGCAATTCTTTGTCAAGGCGCATTTTCATTGTTTTAAACTATGTCTACACTAAACATGTTGAATGTGGATTCTTCCCTCTGGCGGAATAATATATGTAGTTCTTCCCTCTGGTGGAATAATGACTTTTTTAATTAGTTACACAAACTCCATAGATAGGTAAATATAATGTGGCCACGTTGTTGGATGTGTTTACCCGACTACCGAGGGTGGGTAATGCTTTTAGAGCATGCAGGTACATATACGTTTGTATGTTTTAATTCTTTATCAAACCTTAACCGTTTGACAGATTTAAGCATATGCGGTGTCAATAGATTCTTCTCAGTTGTGCGAGTGACATAGCGCATATAATTTTAACATGGTGAAAAATTAGAGGAATAGTTAGTATTTATAATGCAGTCGATGTTTTTCTGGTTTCAGTTGAATGGTTTTAATACTGAGGGCTATGAGAGAGGTCATCACTTTCCACGGGTTCACTGTCCACGGTTGTCCATAGGGCGCCTCGAAAATACAGACGATTCAGCTAAATAACCTCTGTGAGAAGTGGACGGAACTAGTCTGTCATCCCTTGAGGAAGAATCTAAGAATTAAAACTAGGTTTTTTTCGGCACGACAAAATCTATCAGTGTTTCTTGCGTACCTACGCAATGCCGCTCAATTTCCGTGAAATGTAATAGTATTTGTAATCTTAAAACCCGAGATAAACAACCACAATAATTCCAAATCTGTCTCCCCCCCCCCCCCCCCCCCAAAATTGTGGCAAACTTGTGGCATACGAATGAACGGTCGTGCAGCATCGTGTGTACCTTATTGGTGCGGCCGAGGCTGTCCACCGTTGGGCAGGGATTCTGCGGCACGAGGGGCGCCGGCGGAGGCTTTGGCTCCACAGTGTCCTTACGAGTGAAACTTTAATATTAAACAACGTAGAAGGCAAGTAGGTAGGAACAAAAAGAGTAAATGAACAATCGACTCGTCTTTTCTGCTTAGTTGGTTAGTCTTATATTTATAGCAAAGACGCCGGCCGGTCTTTATAATCTTTTTTATTTAGCTTTTAGTGCTAATCTGCAGTCAAGATGATTTTTCTATTAAACTAGCAACTAAGACGATGACTGAGCCGTGATAAATCATTGTCCGGCCGCTCGATTTTAAATTAATATACTCGAGCAACCTGAGTTCGATCCCCGGTGCCGGCACCAATGAAATTGTTAATTTTAAGTGCTGACTTTATCACGTGCTCAGCGGTAAAGAAAAAAAATCGTGAGGAATCTGCATATTTTCGAAATAAAAACGAAAAAAATTATAATGGGAAGTACGCCAATCCGCTGTGGGGCCTCGTGGTGGACTAAGCCCTGATACCCTCTGTACAGAGGCCTTTGCCTAGAAGTGGGACATGTATAGGCTGATACTTTACTTTTATTTAAGACGATAATTACATTATTGCGGTAAACGGATTTAATCTTTACAAAATATTAGTTTTTGTTGTAAATCCTTGTTTTTGTGCCTACATTCTTGTGAGAGCAAAAAATAAAACTGGTTAATTAGTAGAAGGGATACACTGGTTCTAGACCATTAGTCGTAGTAAAAAGTGGGATTTTTTTATAGTTTCATTGTTTTTCATTTCATTCACTGTATTATCACCAAATTAATTTTGCAAAATGTATCACCATGAAACTTGTGAACTTGTGTCACCATGAAAACTGTGTCATCTACAATAAACAGTACTCAAAAATCTCATAGACGAACTCCTTTCCAAAAAAAGGTGCGTATGTATGGTGCCTGAGGGTGATCTACCATAGGAATCAAAATATTGACCAATATGGCTTTTTCCATGTGCCTGGCTATCAAGTGTGATACAGATTATATATTATTATAACGGTTATAATTATATGTGTATAATATACTTACAATATATTAAAAGCTATTATTTCTCTATTTTAAATTGTAAATTTTTGTATATAAATGAACAAACACTACTAGACCAGGGTAGAAGCCTTTAAAAATAATAAAAAGTGAAGAAAAATAATAGTAGGATGCGACCCATTAGAAAAGGAGGGGAATATTATAAAAATTAAAGGAAAAATAATTTACGGGCGATCCGAGGCTAGGCGCCCGGAACGCCCTTTTTTTTTTTTTTTTTTTTTTCGTGGGAAAAATCCTTTATGGATCCCCTACCACTGAATCGGGGGAGTGGCAGGGGTATGTGGGAGTCCCGATAAGAATATAGCATAGCACACGTCTCGAGCCCCATATTGAGCGACAGACACCCCCATGTCTGCCGCTCAGGGTCTCGCTATCAGGGGGGAAGGTTGCGCGCGTAGGCCAGCCTCCTGCGCCCTGGTCTCCGGCGGCGGATTTCCAGGGTGGCAGTTGCCTCCCTTTTTCTCTCCGCGGCCTCCTTCCGGGTGATAACGTCCTCGCAATATGCGAGGACAGCACCCCACGCTCTCTCGCTGTCAACCATAGCGCGAACCACGGCTGGCAGCGAAAGGTCGTGCCCCACGATAGCGCATAGCTCTCGGCGCTGCTCCGTCCAGGCTGAGCACTCCTCCAGTGCGTGTTGGGCCGTCTCCTCGGCACATACGTCACAGTGGTGGCATTCCGCTGTGGGCTCCCTCCTCGCCACGCGAAACAGGTACCTCCCGAAACAATCATGTCCCGAGAGGATCTGCGTCGCGCGGTAGGTCAGTGTTCCGTGTCGCCTGTTCAGCCACTTCCTGAGGACAGGAAGTATGGCCTCTACGGTTCTTAGGCCGGCACTGGGGTGCTCCCAGCCTTTGCGCCCACTCCCCGATGGCGTTTGAGCGCAGGTGATCCCTGCGCTCCCCCAACTCCTCCGGGGCCGGCATATAGCCCTGGGCTTTTGCAACATCGCGCCAGGAGTACAATGACGCGAGGATCTTAGCTTCCAGATCCCAGGGCAGAAAGCCGGCCAACAGGCAAGCCGCCTCACCGGAGATTGTCTGGTAGCCCCGTATGGCCCGAATAGCCAACACCCTCTGTGGTTTGCGCAAAAGCGCTTGGGTCCGGCGCTTCAGGGTGTCGGCCCAAACGGGAGCTCCGTACAGGGCCATGGACCGCACGACTCCGGCGTATAGGCGACGGCAGGAGTCGATGGGGCTGCCAACATTCGGGAGCAGCCTACCGAGAGCCGCCGCTGCTTTCGTCGCCTTGGGAGCCAGACGCTCGAAGTGGGCCCGGAACTCCCATCGGCGATCTAGAACTAGGCCGAGGTACCTCATCGTAGGTGTTATGTCGACACGGACCCCACACACAATAATGTGAGCATCCGCAGGTGGCGCGTTCCGAGGCCCATAAAAACATAGAGCCTCGGATTTATTCAGCGTCACCTCTAGCCCCAGTCGCCGAATGCGTCCCACCACCTGAGCCACTCCCGCAGTGGCGAGAATAGCGGCCCGGCGAAAGTTTGTACCACGGGCGGTCACAAGGGTGTCATCAGCGTAACAAATCACCTCGACACCCCTGAGATAGGCGCCACGTAGCACCCAGTCATAGCCTATATTCCACAGGAGTGGCCCTAACACCGACCCCTGTGGAACGCCGCACGTCACCGCGATGGTTCGATGTCCGTCTTGGCACGGAAACTCAACACGGCGATGTGACAAGTAGGCCTCGATGGTACGGCGCAGGTAGAGAGGCACTCCATGAAACCGGAGCGCCTCCCTAATACAAGCCCAGGGCAGAGTGTTAAAGGCGTTGGCGATGTCAAGAGACACCGCCAAGACAACTTCGCCCTGGGAAACTGCTTCCTGCGCGAGAGACCTAACTTGCAACACCACGTGGATTGTTGACCGACCCTTGCGGAACCCGAACTGCCTCTCCGCCAGATTCGGCCCAATGTTCTCCAGCTGCTCGACGATGCGGCCAGCGACAACTCTTTCAAAGAGCTTCCCTACATCGTCGAGTAACACTATCGGCCGATAGGCGGAGGGCGAGTCCACGGGACGCCCCTCCTTCCGGATGAGGACGAGTCTGCCTGTCTTCCACCTCTGTGGAATTATGGCTTGGGCCAGACAGGCAGTAAACATCGCCCTCAACCTATTCTCCAAAGCAACCCCCAGTGCAATGGCCCAGGCTTGTCCGGGGATGCCGTCAGGACCCGGGGCAGCGCTTTTGGTTTTCATGCGAAGAACAGCAGCACCAAACTCCCCCGGAGTCACCTCAGGCACATCCAGGTTAGGATCGGTCTCTTCTGTATCGTGTCAAACCATCGCAGGTGGTATGTGCTCCTCCCGCTGTGGAAATAAACCTGCGGCGATCGCCGTTACTACTTGTGGCTGCAAGCTCTGTGTAAGTGGGGGGGCCCATGGGCGAAGCTTGTTCATTACCATCCTGTAATGCCTCCCCCACGGATCACGATTGAGAGCAGCCAAAAACTCCTCCCTTGCAACAGCAATCGCCGAGGATATTGCCACCTGTAAGGCCATCTTTGCCCTTCTGAAGGAGGCATTTAACTCAGTTTCCAGGCCTAGGTCCCGGCTTCTCCGCCTTCGGCATCGAGTGTACCGGCATCTCGCAACTAGGCACGCTCTACACAATTGCGCGAGCTCCGCAGACCACCAGTACACTTGGCGCTTTGGAGGTAGTTTTCTGGACCGGGACATGGACACATCGCATACCTGCGTCATCGCTTCCCGGAACCAATCCGCCTCCTCCTCGATGTCCAAATGCTTAGACGCAGACACCCAGGACTGGACGATTGCCGCCTCCTTCATAACTTCTCGGTCCAGGCTTCTGAGCTGCCACCTTGGGCCGTCTTCCCTAGCAGGTCAAGGGATTTGGTTGGGTGGAGATATCATATCTGATATATCGGTGATCTGATAGAGTCTCCACACCAACAACCACCTTCCAGCCGTGAACACGGCCTTGTCATCAAGGCCTGAGATACGCAAATTCGCGCATTTCTCAGGCCTAGAGATGACAGCGACCTCCTCGCTAATTACCCGACGCAGGGTCTCCGCCAGTAGGTTGGCCTTGTCTCCACTGGTCACTCCCGGCACTTCCAGGATTCTCGCGCCAGTGGCAGCCTTCCTAAAGCGGATGGCCTGGATACCAAGATTTTCCAAGTCCATCGCTTCCTTGGCCTCTTTTAGTATGCCGGCATAGGTAACCCCTTTGGCCGCCTGCATTCTGCTGTAGTTTGATGACTACAGCAGAAGAGCGAGGTGGCCGAAGTTTTGGCAGCCGCTGGCGCTCCTGGGACTTTAAGTCTTGCCCAGAAGTTGTGGAGGTCATGACGGGCCTGGCGGATTTACGCCGGGTCACTAACGTCCACTCCTCGGTTGAGTGACCAGGTGTGGAGGGTGGGACCATGCTTTCCACACTTTGGGTGGCATTTGTTTGGGAGGTTCGCTTTTTCCGTCTTCTCTTCTTCGTGTTTTGAGGCGAAGAAGCGTTTGCTGTGGCATCACTTTCTGGGGCTCGTCCAGTCGGTGGCTTCGATGCAATTTTTCCCGACTGGAGTGCCGCGGTCTCAAACACAGTGCCGCCTTCGTCGCCACTGTGTTTGAGACCGCTTTGTTATCTGCAGCTAGTGGAGGACGAAGACGTTTCCTGGGCAAAAGACGATCCAGATCCTCTAGCCTTGCAGAGAGCATTGTTCCTACCGCTTCCATTATAGATCGCTGCACAAGCTCCAGCTCAAATGAAGCCTTAGTGTGCGATGGAGTCGATGCTACCTTTTGGACCTGGGACTGCCTTAAGCAAAGCTGCCCGCAAAGCAGCTAACTCATTGCCAAGTTCTGCCACCTCTTCCTTTAGCCGCTGGTTATCAGCCGAGAGCTTTTCCGTCTCGGCTGATACTGTTGACCTATAAAGGACCTCAACGGCATCCTTGATGGCCGAAGCTGCCTCCTTCAGGGTCCGAGCAAACGACCTCTTCAGGTTCGACGACTTGACGGCCACTTGAATGATAGTGGCCGTGTGCTGAAGAACCTGTTCCTTGAGGTCCTCCGCTGTGGGCCCTTCATCAAGCCCGTCTGCGGAGGTCTCCGAATATCTTGGCTGTTCTTGGGCCTTGCGAGTCTCGCTTGTCTTTTTTCCGGGCGCCCGGAACGCCCTGCCACCTCAAGTCCGACGGAGCTGTAAAGGCCTCTAAAGCTAACAGTGGTATATCATACCACAAAACCCCTGGCTGCTGCTGATTTTATACCTAAGAAAGTTTCTAGAATTGTATCACACAAAAAATTACAAAAAGAACAAGACCGCAGAGTTTCTTGCCGGTTCTTCTCTGTTCAGGTCTAGTTTAGTGAACCGGTGGTAGATCTTTGTTGGCGTTCAATAAGAGCTTAAGTTAAGCCTATATTGAATAAAGATTATTTGACTTGAAATAAAAAAATTACGCCGATCTTCTTCGTGGTACTCCTCCGGACGGAACTCTATGCTAAAAACGGCAATGTAACCGTTGACTAAGCGGCTAAGAATACACATATGTATTGTATTTCCTTGAAGTATATTCTGTGTATCAAGTCTGTGGTTTGAATAAATAACAATTTATCTGTATGGTATGCATTTTGTTTTATGTCTACAGCAACTTATTAACTCTCTAAAATATGACACTAAATGTAATAAATACTAAGGCCTAGCAATTTAAACCACATGGGTACGTATTTGATCCAATATGAATACAAAAGAAATAGAGAAATATCTAAATGATATTCATTCTAGCTTAAAAGTATTATTAATTAGTTAGTAGTTTTAGGTATGCAGCAAGTCGGTGGCCAATAACTATTGAAGTTCCATTATACATAATAAGCAATTCTGACCAAGATTCAAAGCCTTGGACATAAAAAAATCCATATTGGTCAAATTTTTAAGGTGCTAATCTCTGCACTTAAGATTGCACATTAAAATTTGTAGAAAAAGTACGAAAACATTGTCACCGCTGTGGGAATCGAACCCACGTCTTCGGCGTTCGCGGCCTGACGAGGCACTAAGCTAAACTGCGGTGGCTGATTGTCACACCGACGAAAATCCTAACGTCTTTTATCTACATTGTTTTTTAGCATATTGGTCAAAGTTATGGTTCCTATGGCGTGGTCTACCATAGGAATCATAACATCGATTACCCGATGAACCTTACATCGCACCCGTGGTTCGTACTTCGCACCATTTTGAAAAGGTATTCGCGTCAGTGGAATTTTAAGACAAAAGATAAAGGAAGACTGGATTTCATTCTGTGGTGAGTACCTACTGTTTTAATTATTTGTACTAAAAGTTTCATAGTGCTACAATTAGGGATTTTGTCAACTTATTTGTTGATAATACAATGGATGATGATATTTTGTTGCATTGTGTTAATTTAAGCTAAATATAATTATGTATGATACGATTAGTTTTTAAAAAATAAGAAAGTATTTGTATGTATTTTGTTGTTTTTGATTAATTCAATTAGAGTAGAATGGACATTAGCATATTAACCATCTACTTTGGGAACCGATAAACATTCATCAACAACTCTAAGGGGTCTAGAATCGGTAAAATCACTTCGATGGTCTAGTAATCGATGAACACTATAAATAGACACTCTCGGTCGTCTGATCCAAACCGACAGCTTCATACGCGTTCTTACGCCTCTTACGCGCATTGCGTAAGAACGCAAGTTTCTTCCGTGGCTCACGCATTGTCTACATATTCATAATTATTATTAAGTCATTGCCATAATTAACGCACGCATGAGTACATGCGCGGCTCTATCCACTGAGGAGGGCCTCAAGCCCGTGGGTTCTGGCTAGCCCACCGGTTCCGCGTTCGATGAAGCTTTAATAGTCTATGGACTGAAAGCAAATCATCAGTTATACAAATACAAATATGTGTAAAAGGATAAACACATCAATAAATATTACACATCGATTAATATTGCACATCGGCCTTTGCAAAGAGACAGTCGGTTTATTTCGGCTTTGTAGAGTGTTATCCCTTTCGCACACTTGTTTGTTGACTGACAAGCGCTTCGTAGTAAAAGTATACCTGTGTATGCAGATCGATGAGCGATTGTGGTGGCCTGTTGATGACCACAGGTGGTGTGAAAACCGGCAACTCACCTTTCAGAACAAACAAATTGAAGAATTTTGAAAAAAAATTGTTTATTATACTAATACTAGTTATAAATATAGGCACTAAATATAATATTAGTGCATAACATATAAAGTGTAATAATAAAACTGGAGTAGTGCGAGTCGGACTCGCGAACAAAGGGTTCCGTACTATCCGTGTTATCTATAATAACGACAAAAAACATATCTATTGTATGGGAGCCCCACTTAAATATTTTTTTTATTGTTTTTTAGTATTTGTTGTAATTGAGGCAACAGAAATACATCTTCTATGAAAATTACAATTGTAACATGATGTTATCTTAACCTTTAAACGAGCAATTTTTGTATATATATATATATATATATAATATGTAATCGGAATCTCGGAAACGGCTCCAGCGATTTTCATGATTTGAAAATTATTATATATCATTAGTATGTGAGTAGATTCGGGGGCGAAAAATCGATAGGTTTCATTTTTAGAAAATGTCCTTCTATCCCTGTTTTCAGGGAATGAAAAATATCATTCGAATATGACAGTAAATTTCGCCGCAAAAAAAAAATTTATAATAGCTCGGTCGGTAATCGGGCGGCCCCAAAACGGACGGCCGCGGTTCGTATCACGATCATTTACACAATTATTTTTTTTTCTATACCTGATCATTTTCTTTATTCTTAATTTTTTTCATTTCTAAAATACATGATTTACCAAAAAAAAAAAAACGAGCAAAGCTCAGTCCACCAGGTACTGTTATGTTAATTGTTCATGATACAGCCTGGTGACAGACGGACAGACCGACAGCGGAGACTTAGTAATAGGGTGTTTTACCCTTTGGGTTCTTAACTTTAAAAACGAGGCTTTTATTTCTGGAAATATTTTTTTTGTTGTCACTGTGTTGGATTTCAGTAGCCACAACAGGTTCCAGGAAAAAACTTTCGCACTTTGCCCAAATATTTGTTCAGTTATGATTTGTATAATTTGTAACCAAATTAGGGTGAAAGTATGAGGTTCAAGTCACTACGAAATTGTCAATTACTGCCAAAACATGCCATACTCTCACAGCGTTTACGGATATTTAAGGGTAAATGATTGATTTACTTCTGTGACATCTAGTAATAAATAATATAATTTAAATCTTTAGCAACCAACTTACTATGCTTAGTAATACCGAGACCTTCTTTTGTCACCTTAGACAGACCCTTGATCTTTAAGAACTGCGCCGCGGAAACTAATTCATCTAAATTTTCTTCTAAACATTGAGTTTTTCCGCAATACATAAACTCTACTAGAGACTTCAGCACACTGAACCGCATTTTTAGAATTATTAAAGGTTCTCCGGACTGCTTTTGTAATACTTCCTGATAAAAAAATTTCATTTTCTAAGTTCAGAAAATTGAGACATTTAATAAAACATGTTTATTAAATACATGATAATTTTTTTTTCACAAATACAAAACTTTACCTGAAAATAAGCACTACTTGCGGCAAGAACGGCTTTGTGAACTCGCAACGTGTGGGAACTGCACATAAGAGTCATGTCCACTAAAGATTGCATTTGTAGAAGTTTTCCAAATCTGGACATTAAATGTTCTGAATAATCTTCATAATGGAGACTATAACGTATAGGTGCCATTCCAAGTTGAAGTTAATGTAACATGCGTAAGATTCGTTATTATAGTAATTGACAGACAGATGTTGATAGGTTAAACAAAAGAAAACTTGAAAACTTTTTTTTTATTACTAATGGAATTGTAGCACCAGTATTATAGACATTTTTAAGGTGAATTTCGTTTAATAAATTTCATAAATCTCGATGGCTATTAGGGATTACCACTAATTTTACATTGAATTTTATTTATTTTTCCGTTGACAGTAAAAATTGCATCATCATCATCATTTCAGCCTGTTTGAGTCCACTGCTGAATATAGGCCTCACCCACAGACTATTGAAAAATTGCATGTTTCGATTTAATGTCTGTAATTAAAATAAAATTAAAATGGCGCTAATTTTGTATCTATCTACACTATAGAATATATTTTTTTCTAATTCATTTAATGATAACTCAAGATTAGGCCATGAAATAATAATAGAATATTTATTGAATCATTTAATTCTTTAAAAAATACAGAAAAAAAAAATAGTAAATGTTAGAAAATGAAATTATTACAAATTTGTATTTGCCATGAGTACATTATGAGATAATTATTAAAAAAACGTATGACATGAAAAATTTGAAATATAATTACAACAGATGATAACTGTAAAACATGTTCTATCACAGACTAATTAAGTACTGAAAATTGGATTCAAAATATATCAGAATATTTTAAATGCTTTGATGGTACTTTAAAAAGGACCATTAGAACGCTGATAATGGTCGATAGAGATAAAAACTCACGTAGTAAAGTCCTATAGTTAAAGCAAATCCAGTTTCAGTAATAAGTAGGAATGCATTAATTTGTTCATAAGGCACTTAAAACAAATATAGATATTAGGGCCAGATGTGCAATTTTGTCATCTGATAACAATGAAATAATTAATATTACGAGAAAAAAAGAATTGTTACATACGTACACTCTGGAAATTCTACTAATATAAATTAGTTAGAACTTTTAAGAACTATGAAATTATTAAACATTTTTATAGAATCTAATCACATTAAGTTTTATAAAATTCTCAAGTAACACATACTTATTTTGATTATATTTATATCAAGAGGAATTCTAGCAGCTATTACGCAAAATGATAATAGTACAGCGAATAAATAGTAGTGTTTATTAAAATAATCGTCATATTATTATGGGTATTATAGGAGCTATGACACAAATGGATTTTAAATAAGCTATCATATGACACTAGCTCTAGCTATGCTCATCGAGGCCAATGCAATAGCAACAATCTACTAATGTATTTTTCGCGTTCGAATATAGAAAATGAATTATAAATACAAATTTGTAACACTTCCAATACTTTTAGTATCATCTTAGATATCCGTTTTATACATAACGTTATCTAGCTTTTACTTTTTACCCTTACCTTCCTACGACGAAGCTCATAGACGCCGTGGGGTACCACAAAGCGTTCGCGTCGTTTTGTTTATACGATTTGTTAATTATATTGGAACACATTCTGATTAATATCTGAGATAGAAATATGAGTATATTTTTATATAGCTTAAAATCATTAGCTTTCATTTATATTTTAACCATGGAGTTAAACGATTAATGCGAGGTTAAAAAAAACGAAGCGATATCTATTCACGTTTAGTATTGTTTGTAACGATAAACATTTTTTACTTAATGTTTATGTAAGGCTATCAAAATGATCAATGGTATCTTAATCCAATAGCAAATTTCTTCAAAGGTTTAGTTTCGAAGCGATTTTTTTTTCAAAGTGCAATAAAACGAAAGGGTAGGCACAAATTTGTAATATGTATGAATTATAAACACTCGTTTTTCTGTACCTAATACCTACACAGCCTATTAACAATAATTATATCATTTACATTAAATTTTTAAGTTAACCTTACACTGTGGTTTACATTATATTGTCATACTAATACACCGATTTTATTAAATAATATTCCATCCCAGATATTGCAGAACTTAAAAATAATAACAGCCGCATGATTTCATTTACCGTAATTAAATGTACGCTTTTTATAGTTTGAATTAATTCCAATATTTATAGAAAAATATTTTCGTTACTATTAAACAGTTCGTTTTCGTTTCCGACTTAATCTATTAAATTGAATTGTGTGTTTAGTTTGCGGATGTTTTGTATAGGGTGAATCCCACAAAATATCGCGTGTTCCTCGTTTACTTTTATGTATTAGAAAAAAAAAAAAAGAAAAACGTATTTAAAAAAATTATCGTAACATAACACATGTCATGACGTTACTGAAGGAAACAAAAACTTTTATTGTTATATTTAAGGCATATTAATATATATATATATATATATATATATATATATAATTATAACAGATATCTAACGTAAATATTGACACAAAGACGATTGAAAAATTTTCAAGGAAATCACAAAATGTCAATCATTTTGGCCTCTAAATATCACATTACTAACCACAGTGTGATTTAAACAAATTCTGAAGAAACTCATGAATAATATTATTATTAAAAATGAACGAAATAATGAAACTTGAATAAGATTTTTCATGGGATACCCAGACTGATTTAACAAAATTTTATGAGTTACCATTATTACTGTGTTAGGAATGAATGCGTAGTGTGGAGATATTTTAGTTTATAGCTATTTTAAACATTTATTGACACGATAATTGACAGCTATTAAAGAAAAATAAAACATAACACGTAATCAAGAAATGTTATTGTACCAAGCACATTCAAAATTATTGCATTCATAAGAACAGGTCATAAAATAATCGAAAAATAATGGGGATTGCGATAAAATATTTAATATTGCTATATAATAACGTAACAGCATATGAACACTTTACATAGGTATGAGTAAATTTGTACAATAGGTACATAGTATGTAGAAAAAATAGAGATTCATTTATAGAGATTGTTCAGTGAAACGAGACCATTGCTAGTCCACAAATACTGCTGGAATCGGATGGAATGTTGAATAGCGTTTAAGATATACTAAAATTTAAAGAGATTTAAATGAAGAATTTCCATTGTTATGCAAGCATTGTTAAATATCATACCATTTATTAGCGTGTATTGCATATTATTCATTTATTACATAGAGAGTTCATTAGCCTGTATCGTCACAGACAACTGAACAATGGCCTGTTTCAGTGGCAGGTTATGTTAGTCTTATTGTTAAAAGCAAATTACAATATTTACAACAGGCGTCGTTACACGTTGCGCGTATCCAATATGCACACCGATTGTTAAATTTGTTCGTAGTCAAACGGAACCTTAAAGCTAGTAGTCCACGGAATGCGTCAATTGTCTATGATCTTGAGGAAGTCCTCCGGCGAGATGTGGATGCCGTCGGCGGCCGGTTCCGCCGCGTCGGGCACGCTGTGCTTCAGCTCGCCGAAGGTGTACGCGCCCTTGGGCTTGGCTGGGGAGCGGTGCGTCGGCAGCGAGGCTTCGCAGTCGAGGCTGGCGCGCTTGCTCCAGCAGAAGGGCTGCCGCGGCTCGGCGCCGGCGGACATAGGCATCGCGAGCTGCAGCCGCGGCTTGGCCAGCTCGTTGTCGCTCAGCTGCCGCTTCAGGCCGCCCTTGCCGACCACCAGCCGGAAGCCGCGCAGGCTGCTGCCGCCCGCCTCCGCGTCGGGCTTGTCACCTACGCTGCTCTGGCGCGAGGAGCGGCTGCGGCGCGACCCGTCGCCCGCCTCAGGGCTGTCACCGTTGGTGCCGCTCGGGCGGGTGTCGCGCCGCAGCGTCTCTATCACGTTGTAGAAGTGCTCGAGCTCATCGTCGCTGTCCGCGGGGCGGCGCAGGTCGTTGGCGCTGCGGCCGTGCTGGCGGGGCGGCGCCCTGGCCGGTTGACCGTCGCTGCTCTGCCGCGCGATGGCGCCGGCGCCGCTCCGCCGCGGCATGCTGCAGCTCTTGGGCGCGCCCTCCTGCACCAGCACGTTCTCGTACACGTGCGCGCCCTCGCACTCGTCCTGCGCGATGAGGTTCTGCCTGCTGTCGGTGGTGTCGCGCCTCTGGCCGACCGAGTTGCTCTTCTTGTGGTGGCGTTGTTTCCCCTGGGACGGCTTCCGGCCCAGCTTGCAGTCGCTCGCGCTCCGAGGTAGAAGGTTCTCGTAGCCGTGGGCGACCTTCTCTTGGCACTGGCTGGACTTGGTGCTGGGCGTTCCGCTGTCCGGGCCGGTTTTAGCTGGATGTTTAGGCTTGCCGTTCGGCGCGGTGGCCTTTATCGGGTCCGCGGCGCAGCTCTGGGGTTGTTCGTGGCGCTTCTTGTCCAGGTCGGGCTTGGACGATTTGTCCAGGACGACCTTGGTCTTGTCGCTCTTGCAGATTTTCACGCTGAACCTGAACGGCGGCTTGAAGACGACCTGCAGTCGGGCCTTTTCGCCGGGGATGAGGTTGGTGGCGCTCTTGGACGGTCTGGTTTTCCGCGAGCCCTTCGACGCTTGGCGGGCGGCCCGCTCCGTGAGGCCCAGCGGGATGGACTTGGACTTGGGCATCGCCGTGGGCTGCGGCGAGCTGAGCAGCCACTTCTGCACCTTCGACAATGATTCCGTGTCTTTGACCGGCGACGACGGGTGCTTCTGCATCGAACTGTAGTCTATAGTCTCTTTCTTTAGTTTCGCCTTGCGTTTTTTCACCTTGCCGTTGTGTTTGGACAGTAGCACGTGTTTCGGTGATTTCCCCTCGGCGTTTGTTACTACCGCAGTGTCTTTGACGACCTTGTGAGATTCATCGGTTTTTGGTGCATTGGTCGGCTTCTGTAACAAAACGTCACATATGAACTCGATACTGAAGTGGATTTATTCAGCAAAAGTCTTCTATAATATTCCCCTACCCTTTTCTTGTTGGCGTTGTACGATGGTGATGCTTTGTCCCCTGTCTTCTTCTGGTGGTCCTTCTTGCCTCGGTACGCGCGTGTGCGCAGCGCAACCTTTTTCTTAAGCGGGAGCTTGGACCTGCAAAGTTTTATCCGGACTCGTGTCTATAATTCAATTTCAGACCGCTCATGTATTGGCATTCATAATGTGCACACATATTTCAAGTAACTAAACATTGGATACATGCTTCTTGCGCATTCGAGTTTTGCCGATTTATGACGCATTTCGTAAACCTCACTCCCACGTCTTGCATTGGTTCTATTATAATAGGCTTAAAATTGTTAACTTTTTAATTTGTATAAAACTCCGGCCGGTTATAGGCTTACGGCCGGGTTCAATGTTCTATCAACAAATAGATTTGGTTATTATCGATAGGTATTTGACATTAGCTCCATAAAACTTAGGTCAAATTTCAGTCTCCAGTAACCAAATCTATCTGTAGATTCAATATGGAAACAGGACGATAGTGCCACTCTAGTGGATCGATTTTGTCTTTCAATGTGGTGGGATTACGCAGTAGCCTCGGCTATTATATGAAGACGATACCTATGGCCTACGGATTTTCGGATGTTTCTTCTCTCTTAGAGGAATCTCATTACGAAACGGTGGTAGATTAAAAAAAATATGACTATCGATAGATGAAATGTATGTTTCTTATGTTGATGAATAATAATTTGGGTTTTGTTTTTTTATTTTGTTTCACGAATAGTTAGGGTAGGGGAAGTACCGCAGCATTATAGACTGGTGTGAAGCGGTTGTTACAATTTTGGTTTCAGTCTTGAGCTAGGCAAATAGGCCCCGATTTCAGGAATGCTATCATGACACAATGCCTGCCTAAGTTTGTAAAAATTTGACAATGATGTTAATATATTTAGTTGTTAATGAAAATTGTTCAATTGCAAACCATTTGCAAAAGGTTAATTTATCAATAAAGTTATATTTTTGGGAAAAGTTGCCAAGCGAGCAGACGGTTCACCTGATGTTAAATGAATACCGCCGCCCATGGACATCTGCTACATCCGAGGGTTCCAGATGAGTTGACAACCTTTTGAAAATTTGGCTCCGGCCACCTCACTCACCAGAAGAAACGCCAAAGTATTACACTTCGACTTCACGCCGGTCTTCTGTGAGTTCATGGTACATAACCGGACGAGCCTGCCCATTCGTGCAACAGCCGAGGCTGCTGCGTGGTCCTATCATCGTGAAAAAATTGTGTACTCTTTTTGACGGATCTAACCAGAGGAGGGAGAGGTTCAACCAGGAGTGGGAGGAAGAAAGGCGTACCTCACAGCCGTGTGCACGATCAGCCCCTGGTCGGCGGCATCCGGCAGCCGGACGGTTTCGGTGGTGGACGAGTGTATGATTGTGACGGATTTGAGTTTTTTGCCGTGACGGCCCAGGAAACGGGTACTCGCAAACTGTAAAAGAGACATTGTTATCTTTTGATACCAAGGTAGAAACAGCACTGAAAGCATTTTACTTATTAGATACAAGGTAGAAGCACCACTGAAAGCATTTTCAAATTTCTGTGGGATCGAATCCTATTCAAAACTTGTTTATTATTTTTAATTTTCTTGGGTAACTTTAAAATGACTTCATTATAAGGAAGTTCTACAAACACAAATTTCACATGGGAAAACACTAAGATCCGTGATAAATTATCATTGGCTCTATCAAACACTTGCCCTGTCGAAAATCGTACCTGTGACCCATAGCCTCGAAGTCTTAGCATAGCACCTACATCAATCGAACTATCAAACCTCAAAAATAAATGCAGTTGACAAAGGCATCCGTATTGCGATATAAAGTTAAAAACTAAAGAAATAAAAAGTTAAAGGCACCGGTCATTTAGAAAGTCCTTTAAAATATGTATTCTTGTATTGTCTTGTATTGTCTTTGTAGCAGTACATAATGATAATAACACAAAATGATATGAAATGTTTATGTGTTTAGTCAATAGAAGGCAGTGATAAAAGTTAAGTTGATTCCAAGACATACGTAGATCATAGTCCAAAACAAAATCTAAGACCTATATGCAAGCGAAACTTAAATATTTAGTACACTCAATTATTTATGCTGCGAATTTTAGAAGTATGTGGGTTTTTTTAGTTTTTGTATGCGGTATTCATTAACAAGAGTGGTGTGATAAATGATAACTTTCTCGGCGAAAAAATAAGCAAACAAAATAGAAAAGAAAGTAACAATCGATGATTGGAATGAATAATGAACTGATATTACAACCTAGCCAAAAATATGCATGGAGATTGGCACACTGTATAGCTTACAATTATAACATTTATCAATACCTTAAAACTAAACGGAATAAGATGAGATTAACATTTAGGGTCAATCTCAATATCAGTGTCGAGAATGCGGCAGCAGCGCTAATAAAAAGAAGAATTATAATTTTTATAGGATACAGTTTCTTCTCAACTTTAATCTTAATTCTTTAACAAATCCATTTTAACATAAGAAAATATAATCAATACAACTATAAATACCTTTTCAGAGCAAGCTTATTAGGTACCTAGCTAACATCATTGAATTCTGACGAATTAATTGATTTGTTTCATATTAGAATATTAAATAATTATCGTGATAATCAACGACATAAATGATAAATAATATACCTATATCTCTTTTAGATGATAACGATGTTATGTCAAATTCCATCAATACAAGTTCCATCATTCACAATATATTAATGACATAATTATCCCTAATGGTAAACGAATCGGCAATACACATACAATAAAATAAATTATATATACAACAGTATCGGAATTGCTAAAATTTATTCAATATAGAGCATTCCTTATTCGATTGTCAAAAAATACTATTGTATCGTTATCATTTACCTACTCATTATAATACTCTAGAACTCTAGACAGAGCATCATCCTCTTTCTATTATCGATCGAAATAACTATTAAAACTGATTTTTTTTTATTTAATATTATTTTATTTTGTGATTATTTTATATTATTATATAAAATAATAAAAAGAAATAACAATTTATATTTTTATACATATTTTTCTACGTCGAGTTTTGTAAACGATGACGTTGAGACATGGACAAATACATCTGGCTGTAGAAATAATATTTTTATCTATAGTTTAGTATAATATATATATTTAATTACATATTTCTATCTATATATATAAAATTCTCGTGTCACAAAGTTAGTTGCCATACTCCTCCGAAACGATTTTTATGAAATTTTATACACACTTTTTAAGTGTGTGAATTTATATGTAAATTTGGTAGGTTGTCCGAGAATCGGTCGTAATCTTCTTTTCCTACCTCTAAGTGATAATGGGGGTCCATCCAAAACATTATTTTCTACCCTACACAATCCCTATAAAAATAATTAATATGGCAAAACGTTTGCCGGGTCGGCTAGTAATTATATGCGATTATCGATCGGTCCAACTCACCAGGAGCGCTATCACGGCCAGCAGTATGAGCAGCACAGCGTACCAATGGCGCAGCACCCAGCGCTTGAAGCCCGCCAGGCTCTCGTCGGACAGGAGCAGCTTGCGGAGAGTGGCCAAGGGTCCGGAGGGGTCCACCTCGCGGCACCGCTGGAACACGTCGCAGTACCTGCGCGGCACGGTGTACGCGATATTTGCGATTGCTGCGTCAACGCTAGCCGGTTGCTAGTACTCCGGCTACTTGTTGGACCATATTAGAGTTAGACAAACTACAAACTCAATGGCACGCACGGCCGTAGCTAGGGGGGGGGCATTGTAGGGCAATGCCCTACCTTAAAATTACAATACCCTACCTTAAAAATACCAAAATAAAAATGCGTAAATATGACCACGTTTTTCAATTTCGTACACGTCTCAAGTGATTTCCCATCCTACTTCGCCGGAATTTGTATATTCTTTCTATGTTGTACCTACTGTGTTCTATTTCATGTTTCTACTCTACTTTATTTAAAGGAGAAATTTGAATTTGTAGGGCTTCTAGGGGAAGATCCTACCTTCTTCGAGGAAGCTCATTTTAAAGGTGCCAAACCACAAAACATAATTTTTTGAAAAATCTTTTACCGTACAAGCTGTTAAACTCTACTACTGCATTATATACTATACTATTGCACAACCTACATAGGAAAGTGTTTGTGTGGTGGACAATAAAGTATTCATTCATTTATTCATTCAAAAACTAAGATACATTATTGTAATAAAAATTGTAGTAGTTTGTCAAAATCAAAATAATTTATTTATGGACTTAGGAAAGATACATTTCATCTATCGATAGTATTTTTTTAATCTACCACCGTTTCATCATGAGGTTTCCTCTAACGGAGAAGAAACAGGCGAAAGAAACTATGCAGGTATCCTCTTATTCGTAATTTTTTTCTTAAAAAATTAAAATATTATACAACTGTTTTTTTTTCTTTCTTTTAGAAATAGCTTGGGTGCGATCAACTCATTACCCGTGTGTGACATTCATTTCGTATTCTAATAATTCTTTGTTCTGTGTACTCGTATAAAAAACTACCTGGAGGACCGAGCTTTGCTCGTTTTTTTGATAAATAATGTATTTTGGAAATAAAAAAAAAAAATAAAGAAAGCAATGATCAGGTATAGAAAAAAAAGTAAAAAAATAAGTGTGTGATCGTGATACGAACCGCAGCCGTCTGTTTTGGGGCCGACCGACCTATTATAAAATTTTTTTTTGCGGCGAAATTTACCGACATATTTGAATGATATTTTTCATTCCCTGAAAACAGGGATAAAAGGACATTTTCTAAAAATGAAACAGCTAGATCGATGCTTCGCCACCTGGAGCCGTTTCCGACATTCCGATTACATATATATATATATATATATATACAGCGTGCGTTACCATCGCGACCAATAAATGAACACACGTCTAACGCTACTTGCCAATAATCATAAAAAACGTTAAAAACGTTAAAATTAACGTTAAACAAAATCCATAATTAAAAAAAAATATTTTTCGAACAAACTAATTAAGTAAAACAGAAACAAAATTTGTAACATCCTATACAACTCGCGCCACAGCGTCGTATTACAAGCCTCTCCTTCTAACAGTATGTTTTGTCTCTTTTAAATTCATTCAACCCATTCATATGCTTTGCGACCTTTACAAATGAACTTTACGTTACGCTTTTATAGGTAAGGTTGTTCTAAAATTCTTTGTTTTGGAAAATTTAATAATTCTGTAAATATTGATGTTTAAAGAATTTAAATGTTTAATACGACTTTAAAAAATTATCCCCTATATGTGTGTTCATTTATTGTCGCGATGGTAACGACACGCTGTATATATACAAGAATTGCTCGTTTAAAGGATAAAATAATAATAAAATAGGCATTTGAATGATGATGATCTAAATAATTCGATTGCAAGTCTCGATGAGTTGGATGTAGATAAAACTAGTAGCTTCCACTGAAAAGTTTGGGTAAGTTTAAAAAATTTAATAATTCAACTTTAACCACACTAGCCTAGTGTGGTTAAAGTTTACTTGAGTTGTTGTGTACAATGGAAAATACATTGCAAGTGTAGTTGTACAGGCAACGAGAGGCGTTTAAAGATACATATGAACTTTTTGCATCTGTGGCGACCATAGGATGTAGCACTGCAGTGTGCGAATCTACGTTTTCAACTTTAACTGCAATCAATAGGCCTCAAAGGCTGTCAATGGGTCACGAGAGAATGGCTGGTATGGTATTACTAGCCTTTGGAAAAAAAAAGGACAAAATCAGTTGATCTGAACGAAGTTCTTCGCATTTTTAATAACATGGCGAATCGAAGAATTCAGCTGTTTTAAATATTTTTATTATTATGTTACTTATTATAATAGGTCTGCAGAAACAATTTGATATAAGTGGTATTTTTGGTCGTATCATCTCATCCAAAAATTAATTATTACCTCACTCTCACTCAGACGTGGATCTCTACATCCAAAGCTGAAAGTTCAACCATCTTGTTCGCTTATTCTTCATCATTAAGGATTTAATAGTGCTTATAGCCATGCTCATGTTCTGTCACAGAAATTATTTGTCTACGAATAGCTATTGAACTGACCTAGAGGTCAGTGATATACATGATGATTGATTTAGGAGCTCATGCTAGTTGGGGTAAATATTCTTTTATGGCCAACCGCTCCTCTGGGAGAAAAAGGTCAAATACTTAGGAGTCACTTTCGACTCGCGTATGTCATTTAATACGCACATTAATAACGTTCGCAATAGAGCCGCGTTCTTCTCCGGCCGGCTACACAATTTAACTAACGCTAAAAGTAAAATGCCCTTAAGGCACAAATTATTATTATATAAGAACTGCGTACGATCTATTATGTCCTACGCATGCATGACTTTCGCCCACACGCACCCTACTCGCTTGTACAAGTTGCAAATAGTACAGAATAAGTTCATCCGCCGCGCAACCGGTGCGCAGTGGTATCAACGCAACGTCGACCTGCACAGCGATTGCAGACTCCCGACGATTCGCGAATATTTTAAAAACCTGACCAAACGGTTCTTCGATAGAGCCGAACATCATCCCAACCCTCTGGTGGTAAGCGCAGCAAATTACCAACCCGACAAAAACGCGAACGTCAACAAGCGTCGCCCGCGAAACGTCCTCATCGACCCGAGCGACGAAGAGGACTTAGAAACGATGGACCCACCGCCGGGGGACCCGCCGGATAACACTACACCCACAGTTAGTGCAACAACAAACACACTAGTTCACCCTCGCCTCCGAGCACGGCGAGACCAACACAACGCGTACACAAGGTACACTCGCGTTCCGGGGCGGTTCTCACCGCTCCCAGCCACCGATTAGCTAGCTATTCGTACAGTCGACGGCCATCGGAGTTTCGGTCCGAACCGCGACCTCGATGGCCCTTAGATGACACACCATACTTAAACGCACGCATGAGCACATGCGTGGCCCTACCCACAGCGGAGGGCCCAAACCCGTGGGTTCTGACTAGCCCACCGATTCTGCGTCAGATGAAGCTTTAATAGTCTCGGGACTGAAAGCAAAAACATCAGTTAATACAAAATACAAGGAGGAGCTCACGCTTCGAGGGCAAATCAATAATGATAAATTTAATTTAATTGTTTACTTCAGCCCTACCTGTAATCAATGCTGCCCTACCTCAAATTCAACTCTAGCTACAGCCCCGATGGCACGGCGTCGAGAACGTATGGAAGTGGAATAATGAAAATCGGAATGAGGACAGGCTGTACATAAATAGACAAAACTGTGTTGAAATTCTGATGTGGCGATACGATTGTAAAAAAATATGACTGTTTCTTTTGTGTAAAGATGGCTTGCGTTACTTGCTCACCTGACGAAACGCGAAAGTATTATTATAAACGCGAAAGTAATATTATAATATCGCTTCACGTAGTATTAAATACGAAAGGGGGAGGCAGCTTTGGGGGAGGCTTATGTTCAGGAGTGGAGTGGCTGATATTGTTATTGTATTGTACTTAGTACGAGGCTGTCCATTCGTGCAACAGCAGAAAGCAATGCGCGGCCCTGCCACAGTCGAAATGTACACAGTGCACCGACCCGTTGTAGTCGTTGCACGGCGTGCCGGGCTTCGCGTACATGTCGGGCACGTCGTACGGCGGCGTGTTCCAGCGGAAGGAGGAGAGGCAGGGGCCGGCGGGCGCGCGGCAGCACAGCTCGCACGCGGAGCGCGGGTCGTCGCCGCGCGCCGCGCACTGGCACGACTCGAGCCCGTACGCCAGGCAGATAGAGCCCGTGCACTCCTGCGAATAGGGGTCGGTTTCGTGTGGCACTCTCGAAAGTTACGGCCGTACTCTCTAGACAAATATAGCCGTATACTAATAACAATAGGGTTCGGTTTTGTGTGGCGCTCTTGGTAGTTACGTTCGTTTGACGCTACTGCTGTGTATAGGTCAATCTTAGCAAATTTTTACGTTTTTACAGAGTTTTTACGTTCGTATGGCGTTAGTGCTGTGCGTAGGTGATGATTCTGGACAAATCGTGCAGTGCGGGCAACGGGATTTGAACTCGGGGTTGTTCGAGTATGTTCAATTAAAAGCAAGCAACCAGACATCATCAGCCAAATCATAGAGTCGAGATAGCTCAGTTATCTCGACTCTAAGATATGGCTGGTGATGACATGAAATCAAATTTTGAAACGCAAAAGTGCACACATATCAGGTCCCATTCTAGAACGTTCTGAGCCGAGCACTCACCCCCATGAAGCAGACGAGCTCCTTGTCGCAGCGCGTGCGGTTGGGCTTGTGGCGGCTGGCGGGGCAGGCGGCGCGGCGCCCGTCGCAGTGGGCCGCGTCGCGGCACCCGTTGTCCGAACGGCACTTGTCGCCGAACTTGAGGGTGCACGATGCGGTGCAGCACGGACCCTGCCGATAAAGCGGTGGAATATTTTTCGACGTCCAATAAGACCTTAAGTTAAGCCTATCCTTACTTCCTTACTTCCTTACTTATATTATAAAGGCGAAAGTTTGTATGTATGGATGGGTGTTTGTTACTCTATCACGCAAATTCTAATGGATGGATTTTTAATGTTTACAATAGTATAGATCGTACGTCAGAATAAAACATAGGTTATAATTTATATACATATTTTTATGTATATCTGTATTTCTGTCTTAATGTTACGTCTTCAGCCTATTCTACGCAGACGTAGTCGCGGGCAGCAGCTAGTATTGAATAAAGATATTTTGACTTTGACTTTGAAAGCAACTCGTTGGTGGCCTCTTCATCGAGGATTTTTGAAGTAAAACTTCTTTAGGAGGGACTAAGGTGTTACTGAATGCTGGATGGACGACGACAACGCAACGGAAACGCGTTGCGGCGATGGCGGGTTTATATATTATAGGCGGGTGCATATTTTTTTTTAATTTTAAATGAATAATTAATAGTAATTTAATGCAAATATAGCAACTCGTAGGTGGCCTCCCCCCGGCCGCGAGTTAGTGTCTTCGATTTTTGAAGTAAGACTTCTTTGGGCGCGACTAAGGTGTAACTGAATGCTGGATCAAAGACGACAATGCAAGAGTTACGGCAATGGCGAGTTGATATAGCAATATTATGATACTTCTATTTTCCACTGATTTGGTACTTCCCGGATAAGCCTGCCCATTGTGTTGTTAGAGCTGTGCAACAGCGGGACCTGTGCGTTCTTTATAGTGGAGTGAAAATGCGTTCCTTAATGACATACAGACAATGCCGGTGTCATTTTAGTGTTTACTTTACACCTGCCTATACCTATATGTGTGTGCTTGGGTCTGTGTGCTTACATCTGTGTGATTGTGTGCGTGTTTGCGTGTCTAGCGTATATCTGTGTGCTTGTGTATGTGTTTGCATGTCGGTGCTATTGTCTGTATTGTTGCGTCTGCGTGCTTGTGTGTGTGTGTTTGCGGGTAGAGCAATCGCACCTGGCTGGGGCTGCAGACGCTGTGCTCGGTGAGGGTGCACGGTTTGTAGTGGGGACGAGCGGCCTGCGGCCTGCAGCAGACGTCCGTGCACTCGGAGGCCCAGCCGCAGTCGCACTCCTCGCCCTCCTCCACCACGCCGTTGCCGCAGATCGCCGGCTGCGGTTCTGTTGCCCAAACGGTTCATGTGCAAAGTGGAAATGGACCGGCGTTTTTTCACTATCCACCTACAAGGGATTCGGGCACGAAATTATATTCATTATGGAATAAATAAAATGTGATCTATTTGGTAATCCAGCCTGCGTAACGGACTACATACGAAACTGGAAGATCGTTCCGGCTTGAAGTAGGAACATTTGCACTCGACGGAGTATTTCATATATAGCAACATTCCATTATGTCTCTAGATATGAAATTACTGCAAGTACTACCAACACTATAAGTACTCTACTTAATAAGTCCAGATACAGCTTGTGTGATACCTATTTTATTGTTGTTATTTTAACCACGTTTGCACTGTAAAATGTTTTCGATGTCGAAAGTAATTTATTGATAAAAACACTTTTTACCACTTTGCTAATTTGAAAATGTGACAATTGTGTTTTTTCATAAAAATAAGAGTGGTGACGTTATCAATCACATTTTCAAATCACTATTGCTCTTCATTATTATGCTGAGTTGATCGTTTAGCGTAGCTTGCTCGAAACTTACAATCTAGTATCTGTTAGGTATCTAATAAACTTTAGAGGTCTATGTCAAACCAATAGATGTCTATCTATATTCCCTCCTTTTTCTTCTTCAAAGAAAAGAGAGAGAGGCTCGTACCTGTAAAGCAGCCCTTTGGCGAGCGGGCCTTGTTGTTGAGGACAGGGTCTATGGCGCGCAGGGAGCACGGAGAAAATTTGTTGTTGTTCTTCCGGTCGCCGCTGGTAGCGCGCGCGAACATGATGTAGTTGCCGTCTTCGCCGAAAGGCGTGCACACTTCCGGATCGTGCTGCGAAAATTGAAGTACATACTTCATTATATCTTGACCCTATCGATAGAAGGGACAAGGGGTCATCGAGCCATTGGCTTAGGATATAGCTTGATGATTCCGTGCCGCAGTTGCCAAGGTATTGGCTTCGGCGCCGCCGGTCGAGGGTGCGAATTTCATACGGGACAATTATTGGTACGACCCACAGATAGTATATAATTTAAGTATGTAAAACGTCCTCACAACACAGTATAATGTTATCTTACAGTAAAGGGGCAATATTTTCGAAGAAAGGTCTACAATAGATCTTCTAAGACGTGGTGGTTCGGTGTTCGTTAACTTACTACCGCATTCCTTCCACACAAAATATTATAAAAGTCATTGGCTTTGGTTCGATACCCCCACGGAACAAGTATTTGTGCGACCCGCAGATAATTGTTTCGGCCGGCAGGCAGACTGCCAGTCCTAAAAAACCTAGCTCATATTACTAGACTCATTTGAGCGGCCTCAAGTAGGTAGTATAAGCAATAGGATGAACGAGGTGAGGCTGATCCTCTTTAACGTTGGAAAGCCCTATTGTAATTTTAGTGATGTCCTCTGGCGATCACTTACCATCAGGTAAATCGTTTGCTTCTTCGCGATCCTCTTTGATAAAAAGAAGATAACGACATCAATTTCTCATTAAATTGATAAATTATAAAAGGCGTGATACATTTGTGACAGTGATTGTTGCATATACGCATGTAAATAATGCCGCTAAAGCATCATCAGTGTAAAAGACAAGACAAGTCTTTATAACCATAGCCTCAGAACGCAGAAAGTCGGCACGCTAAACCGCAAGACACCGTAGCTGGGCAGCTACTATACTACCGTTGGCACATTTCTTTGAGGTGAAATGCGGCAAAATCAAATTGTGGATCGTAGACGATAAAGGTGCACTTCTATTGGTATAATTCGAAGTACTACTATTAAAACATACATTTTTATACTTATGTATTTTGCAATATTTGTCCTTGATACGAGCAGTTATAAAACGATAATTCTGGCTTGGCTGTGGAAGAGATTTACTTTTATTTTTCCTCTAAGTTTAATTGGGCGCGTTGAATGCAGGAATTGGGTCAAGGAGAGAGTTACGTAGAATGTATAACGAATATGCTTTTTTCGTGTACAGTTTTTATTTTTTATTTTAAGGCCAATCTTAAACACGACCTACATTTTTCGGGGTGCACGAGTCTACAATCTAATGTGACGTCTATTACTAAATATGAATTTAATAGAGAAATAATTTTGGTCCTATATTATACATATTATTTGATAATATATGTATGTTTTCTCCTATTTACTGAGTGTTGTGCCAATGTGGTACATCTATGAGATCGCCATAATGTTAATTTTTTTTAGATATCAGGACTAATGGCAACGAGAGTTTTTAAAAAGTTAGGCCGCCAGAAATCGAATTTAATTTTTAAATTATTCACAACTCTTTATTTGAACGTAATGTCTTATACTGCAGAGACGAACGGAAGTCGGAGTTTAATTTCCAGCCGACTTCAAAAAAGGAGTAGGTTTTCAATTCGACTCTATTTTTTTATGTTGATTACTTCAGAAGTTTGTCATATAAGAAACGACTTTAAGAATCATTAATTTCATTTGTATTGGATTTTGGACTCCGGATGGATCTACGGATACCTAGAGAACTCTTCATAATTGAATAGAAAATATATATATTGAGAGAGATATTTAAAAGCTCTTGAGTTATTTATAAAGAAAACAGTGTTTAGATTCGTCTGTTGACTAATAACTTTTATTTACGCGAATACTATGTACATTTTAATAAAACTAATTTGCGGATTTTATCGCGGATCGTTTTAATTTTAAACACCCGACGTTTCAAATGCTTTACTGAAATTTATGGTCCCGGGCTGGACGTAGATGTAGGAGTCCTGGAGACATTGTTAACTCTGCCACCCGTCAGCTTCAAAATGAGTTAAATCTTATATTTTTTTAATATGTGACAAAGTGGCAAACGATCTGGCGGTTCACATGATGTTAAGTGGTAACCGCCGCCCATGGACATCTGCAATACCCGCGTTGGCACCTTTTGATAAATTGGGCCCCGGCTACCTCACTCACCAGACGAAACGCAGAAGTGTAACACCTCTACTTTAAGCCGGTCTTCTGTGAGGTCGTGGCACTAAACCGGACGGACCAGCCCATTCGTACAACAGCGAACACTGTTGCGTGGCCGGACCACGGTGAAGAATATTATGGTTAGGTTTCGTAAATTAGCTTTGTTGAAGCGATACGTTGACAACTCTGTCATGGAAGATGGACTCACCGGGGAGCCGAAGTTGTGGCCAATCTCGTGCGCCAGCGTGACGTGCGACACGGCCGGAGGTACGTGCTTCCCGTAGTTCAGCAGGGTCACTATTCCCGTGTTGAGGGACTTCATGCTGCCGCGGTAGTGCTGCAACCAAAGGGCTTTGCTGTTGACGTGCTCGTCGCCTCGAAACAGGTTGTGGCAATGAATAGCTGATAAAGAGATCGAGGCAACGGTTCTGTTTGCCAAGGAGGTCATTTCAAGGACATCAATGTACTAACCTGTCGACCGAATTATTATGTATTTAAGTACTCAAAGATCCGTAATTAACAGACTCACGCCCGCTTTCTGAAACACTAGTCATCGTAGAAATGAACTAATCAACTGTCAAATGTCAGTTGTCAAAAGGATGGTTAAACTCTTTGAATTGATCAGGATGATGGGCGTGAATGTGGAGTTCGGATTTCTTGTTAATATTATATATTGTTAAATGATAGCCATGATAGCTAATTGTGCGGACTCTCGTAAAAATACTCCAGCAACCTGAGTTCGATCCTTGGCCGGCACCAATGGAGTTGTCAATTTTAAGTGCCGCTTTACCACGTGCTCAACGGTGGAGAAAAACATCGTGAGGAGACATGCATATTTTCGAAATAATAGCAAAAACAATATTTGAGGCTCAGCAGTGGGACATTTATGGGCTGTTACTTTAAATGAAACGTGTAAAAAACACGTATTGATTACTTAGCTACGTTTAAAGTATCATAACGTAAATTTTTCTTTTTTTTTAAACTAATAGGATGACATTTAAGTTTTAATTAATTTTGAAATTATTTGTAACAAACATATGATGTTTACCCCGTTCTTTTCACACACGCCGCCGGCGTTCTTAAGGTCGCCCGTCCACGCCAATCCCAACGTGCCCATTTCGAAGTCCCGATACGTGAACATGTACGCCAGGCAGAACGCGTCGTAGTCCTCCTCTAGGAATAAAACACGTACGTGATAAGCCACATTTGAAACTAGAACAAAAACAAATGAGTGAAATGAAGATACTGAATGCGTCTTAGCCATTCTGAGGAAAAAACCAGTGACAATTAACCACCTTTAAATATAGACCAAAAACAAATTACCGAAATGACAATATCTGGTAACAACAAAAAAATTATTTCGAAGATATGGGAAGTCCACCAATACGCAGTGGGGCCGCGTGGTGGACTATGCCCTGATACCCCCTATACAGAGGAGGCCTTTGCCCAGCAGTGGGACATGTATTATAGGATGTTACTTTAATTTTTACAGTACCTGAGAACAGCTCGAGGTATTTCTCGACGCCGTAATTGTTGGGAAATCTGTAAGCGGGATCCTTCAGAGCGTCCAAAGTGTGAACTTTGATTCTCTTGATCATGAAGGTGATATTGTCCGGTTTCCCGTCTTGGTTGAAATCTGAAAAAGTCACCCACGAATTGATATAAAACGTAAACCCACAAAAAATATTCGCAACCATCGTAAATCGAGAACCATCATAAATTGGTTGAGATTATTCACCTGTGACTTTGTATATCGCGTTGACTTTCTGCACGTGGCGCGTCATGACCTCTATGCAGGCCTCCTCCGAGCCGTACCTCTGGTAGAACATGTGGTCGGCCTGCAAGTAGACCAAGCACGTGGTCTTCCTGGGGTCCACGGTAGCCCGTTTGTTCACGTGGCGCCCGTCGTCCGTCGCGTTGGCCGTCAGCACCGTGAAACCGACCGGCTCCTTCTTCACGATGTCCTTACTGACGGTCACCACCCCCGCTTTCGTTTTGATCACCTCCACGTGCGTCTTCGGCTTGGGCCGCGTCTCCTCTGAGTCTAGACGCACCTTCGTTATCAGGTTGCTCTTGTCGATCTTCGTCTTCGGCTTGCGCGTGCTGAACTTGTCGAACGGGTCGCTGTTGCTTGTGTACGGCACGTCCAGGTCGAGCGGCAGGTCGGGGTTCTTCTTGGGCTGGTCGTCCTGCATCTCGTCGTCAGGCAGCCATCGTCTCCTGCGCCGGTGCGTTTCGCTTGTGAGGTCGTCCGTGTAGTTGTTCAAGTGGGTCTCGCTCGCGTTAGAGTGTTCCGTGAAGTTGAAGAGCTCGGCGTGTTGGCCGAGGGTCCGCTTGATGTGGAGCAGATGTGATGCGCAGGGCTGGGCGCCCGCTTCCCTCTGCGGATGCTGGACGTCGGACTTTCGGTAGATCACGCTGTGCATCGAGGGGTGCTCCATGTTGTACCGCGACAGCGGCTCCACGTAGTACTCCTCGTTGCCGGTCCAGATCGTCCCGTCGAAGAGGCCGTCAGCAGTGATCACACCGTACACGTGCGACGTTTCGTCATCTGTTATAAAATGAGTTTTGTTTTAATGTGTTATTGGGATTTTAATTTAATAACTGTCTACAAGGCACACGAACCTTGACCACTACATGTAAATCATGTAATAAGATTCGGTAGAAATATGTGTGAGTTAGACAAAATTAAATACTTGTCCCGTTTGGGAATCGAATCCACTAAATTTGGAATATCCGTTTACAACGATAATTCGATTACGATTCGGTCTGCTTCAAGTTCTATTACCACAGCGGCGAAAACCTCTTCGTACTTTTTTTTTTTACAAATTTTAATGTTTAATCTAAAGTGCAGGGATTAACACTATAAAAATTTAAATTTCTCACCCTAATAATGCAATAAAATACACTCAAGTCATAATATGCGACTACATCGCGGCGTGATTTCTTTTTTAATGATTCATTTGATCATAAACCGGTAGCGTTCAAATGAAAGATATTTTATGCAAATAATTAGAGGTGCAAAGGGCCCGGAGACGTTAAATGAATTGAAGACACAGCCTGCATTCCCAGTGAGGAGTGGAAACCGTTCATAAATAAAGGTAATTACAGACCCCCTCGCTGAGGCGGGCCCCGCTTTGTTTGATAAAAGAAAAAAAAACGCCCGAGTGCGAAACGAGACCTCTCGCGGGCCTCTTTGTGGGGGAAAAAGAATACAGCGAAGCGATCCTCGCAAAGTTTAATATTACTTCGGATTCATCAAAACGCCAGGTACAACAAAGCGCCCGCTCGGCCTGAATTGAGATTGAAACAAATGATTTTGAGTAATGGCCACGTGCAATTTGGCTGAGCCTTTTCCGTGCCTCTTCGGTGGAGGTTACGCGTTCATTACGACCTCCTTTGATTCCTTTTGAGACGGTAGTAGAGAGGATTATCCGGGATCGATTGCAGTAATATATAGTATCTATGAAGGTCTCTAAAGAATTGAAAGATGATTATCGACTCATATTATATTAAACTCATCTTTAACACTTAATGATGTGAGATGTTGATGTGAATGAAATAATTCGTTTCAATGTGAATGACATTGAAACGAATTATCTCATTTATACAGTGGACCCAAGAAGTTATATTTTTGTAATGAGAATGTCTTGAAATATGTTTAATATTGATGAATTAGTTTGTCGAGCGTAGTTCGTCGTAAACATTTAATTGTAACGTGAGGAACGCTAGGAATGCATAATTGGGGGTATTAACTTGGACTTTAGGAAGGAAAAAGTTAATTATAAAGTAATCCTACCACTGAACATAACCACATCCACGTAGAGGGATGTGTCACATCTAAATTTAAGTAATTCAGGCCTTACAATAATAATAAATAAATATTTTTAGTATTTTCTTTTGTAAATAAATTTACATATATTACATATACATTATACATATATAAACACCCAGACACTTGAAAAACACTACGCTCATCACACAGTATTTTTCCAGTAGTGGGGATCGAACCCACACCATCTGGCGCAGAAGGCAGGTACACTACCGACTACGCGATTCGGGTCGCCAAATGATGCATTACAATTATTTGTTGAAGTTGTTTTAATAACGATTGCGTTAGATAATTATCAAAGTATGGAGTTACCGGAATACAATAATGCTACAGCTCCGTAGCATTGTTACTCTCAGGGTTGTTAGAATCATAAAAGCCTATGCTCATGGCACTTGAGTTCTCTGATGTAATGACGACTTGGTGAAAAACAAGATATTGCAGCACGTCAAATCTATGCAGGCTACTTCTGCATTTAATTTGCAGATATATGTATAAGCTTTCGTTTTTTAATCTCACGAAATATTTCCTTCTATATAATTGAAAACAAACAAAGAAGTTTAAATAAGAAATATTTACGTAAATAATAAATGCGTCACGCCATTACCACAATCATTTCACGCTAATATTAACTCTTCCATATCCGTGCATCAAGAATAATCGGGCGCCGGTTATGAGTACTTATTAAAGTCATATTGAAAAGTAACCTAGGCCCGGTATAAGCGGAATGAAACAAACACAGCATTCCGCCCGGGCGCGTGTTCGCAACATCTCAAAACGGGGCACATCCCCATTTAACTTGTAAACTAATTTCATCGGTATCCACTTTGCCGGCGACACGGCAGATGGGACGCCGGCTCGTAATGCCTTGCCTTATTAATTGTCACGGAATGTGGAAGTTTCTTCTTGTGTTTAATTTATTGTTTCGACGGCGCGGAAAATAACCGACGGAGTTTGCCGTCGGGGTGCGGGTGTGCGAAGATGAAGCGAGGGGGGGGGGGGGGGGGGGGGGGGGGTTAGAAGAGTCGGATTAGTCATAACATAATTGCTGGATCTGAGTACTTATGCAGAGTAAAAAGCTTAACGGACTCCGAAATGTTACAAACTTATGTAAATAGAAATTACCATCCTTTCTAATAATGACAAGTATGAGACCTATAATGTCAACGTAAATATACGTCGATATATGTCTATTGAAGAAATGTGGCGTTTAGAGCAACCAGAATTTTTTGCCTTTTCTATCATATCGCGTTAGCAATCTTATAGTTAACGTTATAAATGGATGGATTTCTTTGATAAATGAAGTGATTACTCTCTAGAGGTTTAAATCAGCTGGATAGCTGTTACAGAATAACGGAAACGTTAATAAAGTGTCACTTTAACTTTATATTCGCAGAAGGGCCTAAGCAATTATATTATATACAATAGATATGACACCGGCGCACTGTAACTGAGGCACTCAAATTACGCCAATTGGTGTAACTCTATAGACTGCTATCTCTTTCCGTATCATATGTTCTATATCATCTGTCACATTTACTTATATATGTCACTAGCGACCCGCCCCGGCTTCGCACGGGTGCAATGCTGATACCAAATATACTTTACTATGTTTCTATATTATCTTATGCATATATTATACCAATTAAAGCCCGCTGAGTTTCTTTCGCCGGTTCTTCTCAGTACAGTGGCTTTCTTTTCCGAACCGGTGGTAGTGTTTTGACTATCAATAAGTGAGTGTAATGCTCCTATGTTGAATAAATACATTTGATTTTGATTTTTGATACATATAAACCTTCCTCTTGAATCACTCTACCTAGTAAAAAAACCGCATCAAGAAACGTTGCGCAGTTTTAAAGATCTAAGCATACATAGGGACAGACAGACAGTGGGACGACTTTGTTTTATACTATGTAGTGAAATAACGTAAAGCGAACAATTTTTAAACGCCACGCAGTATGGACATGCGTGATCTATATTATTAAACATCATTGGGCCTAAGTGTAAACTGATGTACTACCCAAACAAGTCGGGCGGCTTATACCCGTGACCTGTTTGAAGGAGTTCCTATGAATTGGGCAAACGAGCCCCGGGGCATGAGACCCGATTTCCCGCGACCGTGTAGGGCTGTACTGAAAGCCTATACGTGTTTAATATTTTTGACACTAACGAAATGCTAATGGTTTTACGGATACAGTGTTGAAAACACGGTCTTGAGATTTTAGAAACGCGTATTTAATTTCGTTTTGACTTGTGAGAAGTGAAAAAAGATTTCAGAACATTCTATTTACGAGATACTATCTTAATTAAATCCCTTATTCCAGAATATTGAACAAAAAGACGATCAAGTTTCGCCCTTAAAATGTCCTCATTCTATAAAGACTTACACAAAAAGACAATCGAAAATTGGACTATAAATGGGGACGGAGGGGGAAAGCTAAGAGGCGCTTCAGTGGATCTCAAAGTGGAAAGAAGAAGAAGAAAGTGAATAAGAAAAGTGAAGGGTTAGAAGTGAGAAGAGTTCAGGAAGAGAACGTAAAAGGATTAGCCACAATGAGAGAGCCGACGCGTCGCACCTGTTTAAGTTTATAAATAAAGCAAAGGTAATGTATTCCAAAATACCGGCGTTTAACAAAAATCTAAATCATTTATTCATCGACATAAGAAAAATGCATTTCATACAGTCATTTTTTTTAATCTATAATCCAACCCTTTCGAGATTGGGGTGAAACACCGGTTAGTAACAATGTTTTGCTCGTATTTTCAAACATTAAAATTGTATTAGCAGCTATAAAGATTGTTTTAGTATCAATAATAAGAGTTTTGTTTATCGTCTAACAAATATGTGCAAAGCATTATTCGCATTCACCTTTGTTTATCTCTTAACTTACAACGTAAATGGTTTAACAACAACCGAAAAGTTCTATATAACATTCAGTATAAAACCTAACTCCTTTGCATCATCTTCGTCTTGCATAGAATATGCAGGGTACCATAAAACTTTCCACTGAAGTCTGTCGTTCCATCATTATTCGTTTTTGTTTGCTTGTATAAAAACTTTGACGGAGAGCAACAATTACTGCCGCTCTTCCATAAGCTTAAAATAAAATTCGCCATTTCGTCGTTTGGCTAGTAGATAAACACCAGCCAGGTCGAATTTATAGAAAATATGAAAACATTTTTTTGTAAAGGAAACAAGGGTCGTGTGATTTAAAAATAAAAAAGGAGTAAAATACGATAATTCCATACCACCGTAGAGTGGCCCTACCACCGTAAGTATATATAGACGCATTCGTATGTATATATAGACGAACTCCTGAAAAGGTAGCCTAAATTAGCGTCCCCAAAAGCGGTCACGTCGTCATATAGATAGACCGTACGCACAAACAGACAGACGGGCAGACAAAGTAATTTTAACACTAAGAAACGAGTAAAACATAATTCCTACGAGTTCCGTATAAGAATTTTGGATGGAAATTCTATTTTAATAGTAATATTAATAGACGATAGGAAAAGTTTTAAAGAGTGATTTACACTTAATTCATTAAAAGACTATTTTAAGAACTTATCGGTAAAGAAAAATATCATGAAGACTCCTCTTATTCCTCCACCACAGCAGAATAATAATAGAGCTCTAAAGTATGTGGAGTGAACTAAGCCTGTGCAAAGAGGTTCGCCTGAGGTTTGCCCAGTACTGTTACTTAGTTACGTGAAGCAAAAACTTTAATAAACGAAAATTGTACGGACGGAGGAGTATGACATTTCCCACACTTGTTGTTTATATAGAGAAGGAGGGCAGAATGCTAATATATTTGTTTAAATTATACATAAAAAGTACATTTAATTAAAAAAAAGACACATACTACCATGTATTCGCCCAATGGCGAATTTCGACCATTGGGCGTCCACTAGTATAATGAATTCCAGACTACTTCTCTCCCGTTGAAATACCATTTCTTCGACTCAGACAGGACTTATCGTATTTCATTCCAACCGGTTATCGTGGAGTAGCAGCCCTATCGAACAGTATGGGCAAGTTGAGCCCAATTGCGTACCTAATCTTATCCAATAGCGGTCGGGGATTATTTGTTGCTTTACTATCGAGCGTATTGCGACCGCCGCTAACGACGGTGAAGTACGATATTATGGATTCGCGTGTTACGGTTAACGGGATAGATTGCTTGCTGTGGTTTTTACGAGCTGACGAAAGCAGTCGGAGAAGAATAAAATGGCTTTTTGAGGAAACCTTAATATTCTCGAAATGAAAACAAGAAAATATTTCGAAGATATGTGAAGTCGGCCAATCGGCAGTAGGGTCGCGTGTTGGACTCTGCCCTTATACCTTCTGTACAGAGGAGGCCTCTGGTCGGCAGTGGACTTTACAATAATGGAAGATTGATCTTATCCTTTAAACGAGCAATTCTTGTATATATATATAATCGGAATCAGGGAATGAAAAATATCATTCGAATATGACTAAATATATAAGAATATGTGCAGGTTTCATTATGGATATTTGTTACAAGTACTTCACCGATGATCACGTGGGAATCGAATGGTGTGTAATACAATTATAACTTTATGGCACAAGGGTCCCTAAGTCGGCTTGCCGGAGTATGAAAATGCCCGGATATAAAGGTATTTGACTCGATTGGCGTAGTGAACAGTGAATCTCTTGCTTGCGCCAGAGTGTGGGTTCGATCCCTAGTACAGGGAAACTTCTGTGATGAACATAGTGTTTTAAACTAGTAAATATTCATGCATCAAGCACTGGCTTCAGTGTTTATACATCTATAATATGTATTTATTTAAAAAATAAAAGTGTGTTTAAATATTGCTGACTGTCAAGTGACAATGAACGCTGAAAAGATGTCGAAACGTCGTGAAATAAAAATTAAACATAATTAATCCGTAAATATAGTTTCATATCATAATGTGTAATTGCGTAAATACAATAAATTATCATGTGTTTAAGTATGTTTATCACTTAAAATGTGTAGAAGAAACTGTCGGACAATTTTTCACCAAACTTTTACGTGTTATTGATGTCCATAGGCGGTTACATCAGGCGAGGCGCTCGCTCGCTTGACCAATTTTCCTATAAAACAATCGAAATTGTTAGTTCTGTACTAACCTTCAAGCTTCCCGGAGTAAACCAGACCGGTGTTGTAGTGCACTGGGCCCGCTGATGAGTGGAATTGGACGTCTTCGGCGAACACGGAACTGGGGTCAGGCCGCAGGACCAGTCGAAACTCCCTGCGAAAGAAGTTTAGTAAGTTTTACTAACTACAAACTTTTATTACCCCCACTAAGGATGTATGGGATCGGCACATTATGTGAATCTTGTTATTCGAACGGTCGCCTTCGCTGTTGCAAGAATGGGCTGGTCCATGCGGATAAGTACTACAACCTCACAGAAAACCAGCGTGAAGTGGAAGCGATATACTTCTACGTTTCGTCAGATGAGCGAGGTAGCCGGGACTCACTTTATTAAAAGGTGTCGGAAATGACCACGGGCGGCGATTGTCACTTAACATGAGGTGAACCACCGGCTCCCTTGCTACCTAATCACTATATAAAAATCACAATATAAAAAAATATAAACTGATTTTAAAAATTATTTTTACGTAGGGTTCGGTTTATCTTCCATGTACCTACATGAGGAAGCTCCTCAAAATCAAATAGAAAGTGTACAGTGAGTGAAGTCGACATTTGAAGTACTTATTGTAAAGTACAATAACAGCCTATATATGTCCTACTGCTTTGCAAAGGCCTATTAGGGCATAATTCTCCACGCAGCCCTACTGTGGAATGGCGGACTTCATGTTATATCTTCGATATATTTTTGGGTATTATTTCGAAAATATGCAGATTTCCTCACGATGTTTTCCTTCACCGATGAGCAGGTAATAAGTCAGCAGATAAAATTAACAATTTCATTGGTGCCGGCACCGGGGTTCGAACTCAGATTGCTCGGTAATATTGAATTAAAAGCGAGCAGTGAGCTATCACGGCTCTTATGTACACTGCACTTTTATTCGTATTTCGAACTCGAATTGTGTATTTTAACGTGTTGCAGTCTTTGGTGTCGATAACAATCGCGGGTGTCGGGCGATCACTCTGTTGATGGCAGTTAATAACAGATTTATTGGACGCCGACAACGCGCATCTGCGCCGGGGAAGCGCCGCAATTAGTGGATTAATAGTTGCGTTAATTTACAACCTATCCCGGCGAGACGCACTCACACTAATGGGAGTCGGGTGGCACTATCCCACGCGTCGCACTGTTAGCATTCACACGAAATATGTATTTGAGCTGTTGCATATAAATTATTGCAATCTATTCAAATGAGCAGTTATCGACTTCGTAAAATGAAAGAGATTTATTAAATATATCAAAAATACTCCAGACAAGTGACCGTCAGTCTAATGACAAAGGAATAGTACAGCCACCTTACTAAATACACCCTTCTACCTATTACTACTTTACACTTTATCCTCAAATAATTTCTTCGTTATTTCAGTATTTACAAATCATTTTATTAATATGTTCTATAGGTAAACAATTTAACTCTGAACTGATCAACTTCATCTCTTTAAAAAGGTTATAATGTTAATAAAGTATCAGTGCAAGTGTTGAGTAGTAAGAAATCTCAATATTATAGATCAAGTAGATGAAACAACAACTGACAGTTTTCATGAAATCGTCAAATATGTCATTAAAATAAATTAACTGTCATTATATGGTAAAATAGTGCAATTGCAGTGTGTGTTATTAAGGAAGTCATCTCTTAATTGACATGGAAATTAAACATATTTCATACGCCACATTGAAAGCCAGTCTTTAATGAAATGATTAATAGTCCAAAGAGGTTTCAATACCTACTCACAAAGTTAAAACCTCTTGGGTCGGCCATCCCTGTTTAGATTTCAGGCGGCGGTAGTTCGGGTTGTAAGTCACGTGTAGAACGATAGACAGTATTACGTCGGAGCCTAATTTACGAGCGGCAGCGACCCCGGCAGCGCTTTAAATCATAATTAGCACACTATACGGGGAATTACCGCGGAATATTCTAGTGATGGCCGAGCAATATAAATTCGATGCGCGCCGCTTTAGTCTTACGAACGGAGGCATGGGGAATATTGAGTTTGCCTCACGCGGACCTTTGAAACTCTCGAGTTAAATCAATTACAGCAGACTCCGTTAGAGGTATACCTTAAATACATCAACGTTTACCATAATTAAGCTCCATATTAAAAAGCGTACGTTTACTTAACAGTAGTGTTTATTTTTTGAACACCTTCATACTACGTTGTATATCGTATATGCTGTAAGTTTCGTAAAACCAAAAATTCATCGCTCTGCCGTCGATTAAACCTGGCTGATATAAAACAGTAAATACAGACTGGTATGGGCAACAAAAAAAAGAAATACAAATGAATGGAACATAAAACTACCTGGGTATAAAGCCAAAAATCTTTTTATTTTTCTGTTCCCTATTTGAATGACGAACGAATTTTGTTATTCACATCGTGGAGCCTAAATGCTCTTTACGTGAGACAAATAGTGTTATTTGCGTGAATTTATTACTAGCTTTAGCTTGTGGCTTTAACCAACCTATAAATATTTTCCGTACCTCGATATTTTGTAGCGTAAAACCTGCTAAGCATGAAAGTATCCGCAAGTAATGGAAGATTTTTCTAGAAATTAGGGTGATATTGGAGATCAGAGAAGAAATATCTATTAAGTTTGAATTCCTCGACAGCGATTGGATTTCTCATGTCCGCTGTTTACCTCATCTTTATAGTTCGTAGTTTACGTGAATGTAGATTGAATATCTTAGTCTTGCACCAGACTGATGTGTATATGAAATATTTATACAGGTGCATTTCGGCTTAAGGGAAGTGATAAAACCAACCATAATAAAACAACCCTGTCATTTAAGTCGAAAACAAAATATTGAGAACAAAGATGTGTGAAAATTGCTGCAGCTCCACGCTTCCTTGGCTTCCAACACTATACTGATGTCTGTATAAAAAAGCGTTTTTCGCGGTTTCTAAATTTGTGTATTGCTTAGTAGAATAGCTTTTTATTGTAACTAAAATAAATTGTTCATTCAATACAGACAACCAGATTGCTAGGCCCTATCACAGCAGTTGATTAGGTTCGTGCAACAGTTATCGTTGTTACACGAATGGGTAGGTACCAACCACTTCCGCGTTTCGACTGGTGAGTGAGGTTGCCGGGGCCCAGTACGTCTGCAACCCTAAAGTAAGTTTACATTTAAATTAACTTTAAATAACGTTTCACTTACAATTCGTGCTAGAAGAACGGTCATGTATTTTCAATACACGAAAATGAGCAGAGAGTAGAAGGCAGTAAGTCGTGTTGTATTTCGATACGGGCTTCGAGGAAGGCGCCCCAGCTACACTCAAAGTAAACACAAAGCTTTGATATCGATTTTGAAAAGAAGGTGCGAGTCTCGCTGAATGAATTTACGAAACGTTCGCTGGGCGGATTTCTCTTGGCATTGTCAGCTTCTTTGAACCGTGGTCTTTTGTTCTTTGCACTTTCTTCTAATGGCCCCGATTGTGTGTCTACGTGTTCCCGGATCGGCGCTGCATTTTTGAACAGTAACAAGCTATCAAACGAAGTCTACTGTATTAATGTTCCGAATATAAGCTTTTATTCGGCCCCGCCGTTTCCTGTGCGGATCTTTCGGCCGTTCTAACGTTCTAAGAAGTGAAAACTCTGAATAGAAATGGAACTGATTGAAGACCATCATCGTGAGAATTCGAATCTTAATATCAACGTAATTTTGTATTCGTAAAATTATTACTTTTTTGGAAAATGAGGAGATTGTAAATTATTTCGTGTGCAAATTTTTTCTTAATAGTTTGAATTATTGTATAGATGCCCAGTTCGTTTTTTTTTAATTAGAATAAATTTTGTATTGAAATCCTGGGATGCATACACAATTAACAAATTTTTTCAATAGCAGAATCTGTGCCTATTCTCATACTTAACAATCTGTGGATAGTACAGATACGTGCGTTGATTCGAAATCTGTTATTAAATTAGTTTACAATTTTATTATATCCCTGTCCCCGTGTTCCTAGAAAATATTTTTTATTTCCTTCGTTAAAGAAAGTTACAGACAATCGATGATTTCAAGAGGATCAATGTTGATTTCAACTCCTATAAAAGGATACGCAAATCACTCAATAAATATTTTCAACCCTTAGAAACCTTTCTAGTTAAATTATTTGAGCAAATCCGAGGGATTACAAAACCACCCTTTCGGATATTCCGTTATATTTTCAGGGTTATGAGTTCATGTAAAATAGAGAAGACGAACTGAAATTGAAAATCGTGAACATGTTTTTAACGTGACATTATATTTTAACTAACTGGTATTATTATACGTAGTGTAATAAGCAGTAATTCACCACCGTACTGGTCCGTACCTCTTACTGAACAGGTGGTGAGAAGTTAAGAAGCGTTCGTCGAACGCAATTTCCTAAAGTCATCATTCATTCAAGGCACGGGGATGCTCAATTTATCAGCGGAAAGTTCCATAAAAATGTGCTAGAATCCGACGCGGTACATTTTTAACATGAAGAACGACTTTCAACTTGTTTTAAATATTGTATGTATCAAAGAATTTATGAAAGAGCAGTTGTTTACCGGACAAACTTTCTCACTCAAACACTTTATTGCACGGTCTTTTTCGGGTTAAAAAATGCCTTAAAATTGTTACTTTACAACATAGTAAAAGTAAAATGACAATCTATATATTGATAAGAAGATAAGCTAATTAAGTTGTATGAGAGCCTCCACTTAAATATTTTTTTGTTCTATTTTTAGTATTTATTGTTATAGTGGCAACAGAAATATATCATTTGTGAAAATTTCAACTGTCTAACTATCACGGTTCATGAGATACAGGTTGCTGACATACGGACGGACAGACAGACAGACAGCGGAGCCTTAGTAATGACCGGGTACGGAATCCTAATAATTAATTACTTTTTGCTTATTTGGGCTTCCATGGCTAAAAACTTTACCAGTGTGGATTGGCATACTTAATAAAGTGGGCCCCGGTTACCTCACTCACCAGACGAAACGCAGAAGTGTAACATTTCCACTTCACACCGGTCTTCTGTGAGGTCGTGGTACTTCCCCGGAAGGACCTGTATATTCGTGCAACAGCAAAGACTGTTTTTTTTTAAATTCTTTTTTATTTAGTTTATCA